GTATAAAAAATGCTATTAGATACAGGGTGTACTTTTTTCGGACCATATAAAAAAATTGAGATGCTTTCTCAAAAACGAACCGATGGGCACAAAATTTAAAAACATCATTATGTAGAACTCAAAAAGTGCAAACGCAAAAGTGTTATTAGTTTTTTGATATATCGACTTCAACTTTTTCTCAATTTAATAGAATCCTTATCTTGGCCACCCTGTGTATTATAATAGTAATATTTATTTACTGTGAAATACAGGGAACATGAAACGAGTAAATAAATATAATTTATCCATAGAAGGACAATGCCGGTGCATGGATTTTATGTATGTTGAATTGCAATAGAAAGAATAGAGAAAAAAAGACTTAGCATGTTCACTGCATTACCAGCTACATGAGACTGGTATAGTGCATTCCATTCCGACGAAGGTTATTTATGCCATCTTTCACCCAGCGGCGAACACAATGTCTCTTGAAGCGCAAGTCATATTCAAACATTACAGGTACCTATGTGATCCTCGGCATGTGTCCGATTTTTCAGCTTGGTTAAAAATGTACCGGACACCTGTGACGCACTGAACGAATACATTATCACTCCTGGTACTTAAATTTTAAAAAAGGCCAAAAAGGGAGTCCATATTAGCGACCAAACGTCTTGTTATTATAGCCCATTAAGAAAAGGATAAAAATGGTGAAGAAAAATAGCTTTTGAAGTTGTATTTGGTGCAGCGATTGTTAAACTCCTACATTTTTTACAAACGATCGTCGGTTACAATTTTTGTTAAGATTTGTTTTGATGCCACAAGGCATAAAACAGGCTAACTAGGTGTTGTTAGAAATCTAAAAGTCAGTAAATCGTGAGATGGTACGATTTAAAAACCGGTTCAATATACTTTACTTTTTCCTATATTTTTCAAACATTTTGATTGAAGTTCTACATTTCGGAAAAATGTGGGATTCAAAAATATGTTTCTACTTGTTTCAGGTCCAGGATCCTGTTGAGATGGAAAACTGAGCAGAACTAGGTGGCTGAATGCGCAACAGAACGGCAAGCTAGGTAAGCGCTTTTATTTGAAACACTTATGTTTCAAATGAAACTAAACCATTAATAAATAGTGATATATAATGTTTTGAGGTATAAAGAAATTTAGACATATGAAAGAAAAGGGGTTGCTGGAGACAAAACGCTTGAGTTTTTCTATTTTTCGGTAAAAAACATGTTAAGAATATCGCAGTGCGAAGATTGTTGGGAAATATTAATTTTTCTATGAAAAGTCAAAGATTTCCTTTCAAGATATTTTTATATCTTATTTTTAATGAATTAAGTGACACAAAATTCAACATTTTAACGGTTACAATCTTGGTTTCATCAATATTTTACAAAGTAATGCTTGAAATTGAACAAAACATGTTTTGGGAATTCATTCACAGGATCGGATTCAGCTTTCTTATTTCCTTGTATTTTAAGTGCAATACCCTGTGATTTATACTCTGAATGAATTACATTTCGCCGAAAAAGGAGCAACACACACCTTACAAGTAAGGTTATGCACCCTATTTAGCTTTTTCAGTAATTTTTTAGTGATTTAACTGATGTTAGATTTAGTAACATAATGGTACATCACAAAATTAAATGTCAAGTCTGTCCCTAATATTACGTTTTGGCACGATTTTAACTTCAAGCTATCAAAAAAACAGTATAATGTCAAAAAAATCGATATAACGTCACTTTTCAAGATACATGATATCCGTGCCGTTGTCCATTGTTGGCAGCAAGCCCAAAATTCCAGATCTTTATTTTCAAAAATTCTAACAATATTACCCAACACTTTAATTCACTGAGTGGAAAATTTTACTTTTGGCAGTAGTTCACGAAAAAACAAGGACTAATTCTTTAGTCTATTCTAAGGTTACTTTGTGCTTAAATCATTTTCGAAAAACGCCTTCGTTTCGAAGGTACAAGGCGAATAAAGATAATAAAGATGTTGAAAACGTAACTTATCGCAACACTTAGTTAACAGGGTGGTAAAAAGGGGTACATAGTAAAAATTAAGCTTCGAAAACCCCAAAAGTATTTTTCCTCATGGAGCCGCCTGTATTTATAGTTTATACTGTAAAAAAAATAAAAATATTGCTTCCTATAAGGTTGTCGCAAGATAGTGGTTTCTGAAATATTTGGAAATTTTTATTATGCAAAAATGTTCCGTAAGGACAAAGATACAAATATAGGAAAATAGGCTGATTATTTATTGTCTGACGGCAATTTTTTGTCATATCTTGATAAGTTATTGGCAGTAGCTCATCGCTGGTAACTACGACCTCCACGGACTGCGCTTACGTGCAAGGGGGTATTCTCCATGTGCGTGCGAACCAGCTTTTATAAAAGGTGTCAATATGTTATAGCGAACTATTTTATTAGATTCATTTATTTAACCAGATATTAGAAAACATAAGGGTACCATACAATGAAAACAAACTACGAAAATAGTACCAGCGTTACTTGTTTTGACATAAAACAGCTTTTACAGTCCTTCGCATGCTGTAACGGTCGCTAGAATTGTTCCATCCGCCTTTCCTCCCGAAGTGTGAGAGTGAGACCTTCAATAACGTAGTACTTGTATACTCATGCTGCTTCTACTTGTTCCAGGGACTAGATCAGTTTGCTGAAATGTAAGTGCACTTAGGGTTTTCGTATTGGTGTAGGGTTTTCAGCCGAACAGAGCGAGAGCTGCGAGATTGATAAACCTACTGGTTGTATAAGGCCCAACTCCCTTATACGACCGGTTTGTTAGCGTGAATCGAGACATTTTGCGAAAGAGGTTGACTAGCCCTTTTATCCTCGGTAGGCTGTCGATTATGTCTTGAATTTATCGGGGCATTGCACATAGCTTCGAGAAAATTTAGGTCCATGAGCGACAGGATAGAATTGGAAGGGGCATCTTCAATGTTCCTTCGGTTTCTACACTACCTTAGGATAGCTGGACACAACAAGCGATGAAAGGGCGGAGGGCTTTTTTGGTCTGTAGAACCATTGTCGTTTTCGGGGTTGGAAGAAGACTTTGGGGAGCCGGATCTTGACTTGTAAGATCGATCGACTTCATCGATCTATCTCGCTTGTCGCTACTGACTAATTTGGCCCAATGCGAAGAGCGAGCATGGTTGACAAATGTGGCGGACGACTCTTCATACTGTCCTCGCTAAGCAGGGTGCCCTATTTAGTTAGTTAGGAATTATTAGGAAAGAGCGTCGGTTCAGTTCAAAAGTTAGTCAAAATAACAAAACGGTTGCAAACCTTAAAAGTAGGGAGAATCGGAATTGTCATATAATACATAAGCTTCAATAAAAAGGTTTGCGTCAGAGAACTCCAATCAAGTGGTCGGGAGTAGCGAGTAGCTAGAGAAATGTTAGGCAATTTAGTTTGGGCACTCTGCGTTGTGGGGACACGTCGAGGGATACAGACAACTCTTTACCATGCCCTTGCTGAGAAAAAGCAGGGGCCATCGAGGGATTCAGACACGCATCATGCCCATGCGCAGAGCATGCAGGGGCACAGGGACAAGAGCAGTTTGCTGGAATGTAGGTGCATTTAGGGTTTTCTTATTGGTGTAGGGTTTTCAGCCGAACAGAGCAAGAGCTGTGAGATTGATAAACCTACTGGTTGTATAAGGTCCAACTCCCTTATACGACCGGTTTGTTAGCGTGAATCGAGACATTTTGCGAAAGAGGTTGACTAGCCCTTTTATCCTCGGTAGGCTGTCGATTATGTCTTGAATTTATCGGAGCATTGCACATAGCTTCGAGAAAATTTAGGTCCATGAGCGACAGGATAGAATTGGAAGGGGCATCTTCAATGTTCCTTCGGTTTCTACACTACCTTAGGATAGCTGGACACAACAAGCGATGAAAGGGCGGAGGGCTTTTTTGGTCTGTAGAACCATTGTCTTTTTCGGGGTTGGAAGAAGACTTTGGGGAGCCGGATCTTGACTTGTAAGATCGATCGACTTCATCGATCTATCTCGCTTGTCGCTACTGACTAATTTGGCCCAATGCGAAGAGCGAGCATGGTTGACAAATGTGGCGGACGACTCTTCATACTGTCCTCGCTAGACAGGGTGCCCTATTTAGTTAGTTAGGAATTACTAGGAAAGAGCGTCGGTTCAGTTGAAAAGTTAGTCAAAATAACAAAACAGTTGTAAACTTTAAAAGTAGAGAGAATCGGAATTGTCATATAATTCATAAGCTTCAATAAAAAGATTTGCGTCAGAGAAATCCAATCAAGTGGTCGGGAGTAGCGAGTAGCTAGGGAAATGTTAGGCAATTTAGTTTGGGCACTCTGCGTTGTGGGGGCACGTCGACACGTCGAGAGATACAGACAACTCTTTACCGTGCCCTAGCTGAGAGAAGAAAGTTAAGAAAGGAATTCCCCTGGGTCCATGACCGAGCTGTTAAACATGGATCCAGAATTTAAAAGAATATTGCTAAATATCAATATGGCGTATTTCATAGGTCTGTTGTCGATGATTATTTATGCTTTAAAATCGTAGCGCAAGTGTTTTTCTTTGTTTTTTGAGCTTTTAGGTGAGAGTGGGGACATTTCGTATTTCAGGAATGGTGATGAACTATGCCAAATATTGATGATAATGATTATAATTTAAAATTACATTTGGTAATTACTATTTCTATTAGGTACATATTTTACGAATATCTATTTTTAGATAATATGTGATTACACATTTCTTGTTTTTACATATTTTACAGAACTACAGTCCGAAAACGTTCAGGCTTTCTTTCAGAATCTTTGCCCAAATATTTTTATCAAGTTTTGGAGGGAGGACACTCCCAGTTTCAGGAATTGCACAAGAGACACTCCCGAACATGGTAAACATGATATAATGGATATTGATGATAACGATTCTGCCTGAATAGCGATATGAATGTTGATGAGAAAAGGCAGAGATTGAATAAGAACAATAGAAACATGTTAAGAATGAAGTCCCGATTTATACTATGTACAATACATGAAAACAGCAATCAAGCAAACATCAAAATTTTTACATGGTAAGCATTGGACAGTATGGCATCAAGAAGGTTGGTATTGAACTTCACGAACAACCGAAGTCTAGATATAACTGTTAAGGATCTTGGAAACGTTCCCAAGAGATGTATTTTACAAACTTACCCTAAGAAGACCAAACGTTTCCACTCAAACTATACTTAAATAAATACAGAGTCAACCTACTTGATGTTTCAAAATAAGCAGAGGTATTATTTAAATGGGAGTATTTATGTGAACTCTCTTTGTAGATAAACCTATGGATAATAGTAGTATGGGCTACTGTCAATATACTGATGAAGCCTCACGAAATATTTTCAGCCAGGTTACAAGCAAAAGCTTCTAAAAATGTTCACGATTTTCATACAGCTTTAGACGAAATTCAGGGATATATTTGGAAAGCTAACATTCTGAGGCTAAAAATGATACTTCTTCACCCTCTTGAAGATGATTGCAGGCTAGTACATGCAGAATGAACATCATTTTCGGAGATATGTCAAGGAAAACACGTGGCTGACGTAAAATCGTCCAGTGTTTCTGAGGAAGAAGATATGTGAAAAATTCAGGTTTCATAAGTGCGTCCCTAGATGCTAACTAACCATATAAGAAGGTAGTAGTGGTAGTAGTTGTAGCAGTAGTTGTGGTAATACTTAGTGATAGTAGGGCTAGTAGTAGATCATTACAGGTATGAGGCAAGATGCCCCAGCACGCAAGGTGGTTTGTAAAACTTTGTACTCACTCCAGGCTGTGGCCCCGCGATGGTTTCCAAAACTATATTTATCATTATATGTTTTTTAATTATATTTGGTATTCACTATTTCTATTTTACTATCGACAGCTGGATAAAACACCTTTATTTATGAGAAAATATATTTACTAGCAAAATAGGTTACCACAATTCTTATTTTTACGTGTTTCAGGTCTGTTGTGTATGATTATGCTTTAAAATCATAGCGCAAGTGTTTTTCTTAGTTTGTTTCAGCTTTTAGGTGAGAATGAGAACATTCCGTATTTCAGGAATGGTGATGAACATTGATAAATATTGTTGATAATGATGTATTTATTATAATTTTAATTTTATCTTACATTTGGTATTTACTATTTCTATTAGGTACATATTTTATATTTTTAGCTAAGATGTGATTGCACATTTCTTATTTTTACGTATTTTACAGAACTGCTGTTCAAAAAGTTTCAGGTTTTCTTTCAGAATCATTTTTATCAAGCTTTGGAGGGGACACCCCCAATTTCAGGAATGGCATACATTATAGTTACTCCCGAGCGTGATAAACGCGAAATAATGAATATTGATGAAAATGATTTGTATAGGCAACTGGTCCAAAAAATGTTCTGCCTGGATAGCTGGATGAATGTTTTATTGGGCAGACACGAGTCGGGTAAAGATGGAGGTTGAATAGGACCAATAGAAACATGTTAAGAATGACTAAAGTCCCCGATTTATAGTATGCTGCAATACATGAAAGCAGCAAACGAACATCAAAAATTTTACAGGGTAAGCATTGGAAAGTATATGGGATCAAGAAGGTTGGTTTTGAACTCCACGAACCATTGAAGTATAAATAGAACTTTTAAGGATCTTGGAAACGTTCCCAAGAGATGTATTTTACAAACTTACCCTAAGAAGACCAAACTTTTCCACTCAAACTATACTTAAATAAATAAATTCAGAGCCAACCTACTTGATGGTTCAAAATAAGCAGAGGTGTTATTTAAATGGGAATACTTATGTGAACTCTCTTTGTAGATAAATCTGTGGATATTAGTAGTATGGTCTACTGTCAATATATTGATGAAGTTTTACGAAATACAGCCAGGTTCCAAGCAAACGCTGTTCACGATGTTCATACAACTTTCGAAGAAAGTAAGAAGAAATTAAGGAACATATTTCCGAAACCAACTCAATGACGCCAAAAGTTATATAAGATTAATTGATTTGATAATCGAAATATGAACAGGTATTTTTTACATAACCTTAAACTTATTTATTCTTCATGTTTCACTGACGTCTTACCCGATAAGTCAAGCTTATCAGGAAAATATAACTTCTGAAACCTATTGGAAAAAGCATCGGCACCATAGAACAAAGCTTTCACCAAATTTTATGTTTCTAACAACTTATCAGAAAGATGTCAATGAACTTCGAGGGGCGTTTTTAAAGTAAGAACCAATTGCACATCCTGTAAGGTGAAGACCGTTACAATATCAGACACTCTTGGCCAGTCTCTCACTACGCCGCTATAAAAAACTCATGATCAGTTTATATAGTCTGATTCCTTTACATTCCTTTTGTAATTGTTATAATCTTTTAGTAGTATTCCATTTTATACTATTTCCCATACGTGTTCGCTTAGTGCAAATTTTGAGGTTGCAACGCTTTAGCTGAAGATTGCATAACAATTAGACAGTGTGTTACGACAACCGTGCTGAGTTGGTTTTCGAGTTCTTTTGGCGTCTTCGGGACTATGGACGAGGGTAACGTATCTGAAATTAAAAAAAAACGACAAAAAACTCCTGCTCGCTAGTCGTTTTGCAGGGCAGGACATCCCTTTTGGGGGAGGGAATGCCTACCCCCACGCGGTCGTGGGCTATGCTGGTTTTGCGTTGTGCCATCTTAAAATTTGGAATGATCGTTTCGCGTATCTCAGCATGTTAAAGGAGCTTTCACAGTATAGTAACACACTGCATAGGAATATGAAAATGAAATAAAAAACGAACAGTGTCACCTGGAAGATAGATAAATAAAATATATTATAAAAGTCATTGTACTGAAGAATGTCACAGTTGTCAGGGAAAAGTTTAAAATAAAGAATAATTACAGAAATATGGGGGATTATCGACATGAAAACCACAGGATACGTTTCAGATTCTACATTAACTAAAAACTTTTACCACGACTTGACTTGTGACTGTTTAAAAATGAAAAAATGTTCATATTTTAGTTTGTGATACAATGTACATTAAAAAAATTCTCTGACTCGACTACAAAACGGTTCTTACTCAAAAAATGACCCTCATATAAACCGTTACTTCAATGCTACTTTTTTTTTAGGTTAATAACTGTGGCATGCTGGCGGCTTATAGAGTTTCGATTGTACAAATGAACCCAGAATTGTGGAATGACTTGATTTTTCTTCACCTGATAAAATTAATCTGAGCAGTGGCGGTTGAGGTTTTCTAGGGGTTTTCCTCGCCCAAGTGCGAATGCAGTCACCAAAAAACCATATTCCCCTAATATAAATTGAGAAAGGGAAAATCATAGTTCTCCTATTAATGATCATGTAATTTTACATCACATAGATATTAAATATATTTATATAGTAAAACTTTGTTTTTTTCCAGAAAAGAAATAGGCAAAAAAATATTTTAACCTATTAAGGCCCTCTTTTATCACGAGTGGTCTTGGCATTTTCAGACTGAATGGGCCCCAGATTCGGTTGCAGCGACCCAAAAAGCGTTGGACTTATGTTCCCGACTGACAAATTTTTTGCAGTTTTGGAACTAAACATGTTAACTAAAATGGTAAAAATGCGGTTCAAATCTATCGTACATATTTTGAGTCGCTAAAATCAAATACGATGTCATTTCACATGTATCTAATCCCGTTAACCCTTAACTACCATGGCCAAAAAAAGTAACGCTTATACCATGGCTGTGTCAAATTTGACCCCATTGTTTAATTTCACATAAAAAATCTAATTTTGTACCTTGTTTTTATGTTAAGTAATTTTTTTTCACCTAGTTTTACAATTTTATAAAATAAAACTAATATGGTTAGTTATAACTTTATTAAAAAAAAATTATAAAAATTTCCAGTTTTCTTGTATTCAGTGGTGAATTTTAGGTATCAAGCTGCTACCTAAAATAAAAAAAATTTGATATAGATTTCGTATCTAAAAAATGACAAGCATGTTTTTGAGTATACTTTTCAACACAACTTATGCATAACGTTTTCGTGCGGGCATGATTTTTGCGAATAAATTCTCGACATTTATCGCACGATGAGCTTTCTTTCTTGATTTTTAGAATATGGCGATATTTTACACCTTCCTCTCCACTGGTTCCTGAAGTCCGGAAACTTTAAAAATGACACTACGAAGTTCTCTCCGTAAACATGCTGAGCTCTATGAGTCAAATGGTCCTTAATAAGTTATTGACCTAAAGTGGTTAGAAATAATTTTTTGCGCCTCCGCTTCAAGTTCTTTCTATGTCAGAGCGCGTGTATTGCCACTACACCCCGCCATTTCAAATTACTCGCTACTCGCACTAGAAACAATTATACCATAAACGGGTCAAATTTGACCCTACATGTGCCTAACTCTGCAGTGGTAACAGATAAATTAATGGAATCGAAGATTAGCAGAACGGGCGCAGCGCGCCATAAATGTTTTGGCTGCGAAACTTGGCATACAAAACGTGGAGGGTCAAATTTGACTCCGCCATGGTACTTAAGGGTTAATCATGTAGATCTAATTACTAAACGAAAAATTCCAAAACTATACGTTTTTTTGCGACTTTAGGGTGTAAAAAATCCATTTTTATTATCGATGGCTACATGCAAGCGGAACTTTGTAAAATAAAGTAGTTTGGGGCGCTCAATATAAGCATCATAGAAAATCAATTCTAAAGGGTAATCGGACCTATATTTGGGTGAAATTGGTAAGAAACTTCTAACTCGGGGCTATCCTAGCACTAAATTGCCATCAAATTCAGAATCTACGCACACAATTTGCCTAGAAAACGACAAAGTGGAATTCTTGCCATTATCTCGAACACGAGGACTTTTCAGACTGAATTGATCCCGGATTCGGTTTTAGCAACCCAAAAAACGTATTATAAGACTGGTTGAGCTCATGCCGGGTAGGCCCATTTTTTGCAGTATTTCAGATTGCAACTAAAGACGTCCGAATATTCCGAGCGACAGAGCCGTACTTTTCAAATCGTTTCATATAGTCTAATCACATTAGACGAAAATACCCCTGGTTTGCGAAATAATTGTAAAGTCAGGTCTTATTGCTGCAAGTTGTTCAAGTGGGTATTCGAAACATCCACGCATAAAATGGGTACACCAATTTTTGTGGGATTTAATCGAAAGTGTTGGCAGAAACGAAAAATCTCTTCAAATAAGATTTTTAGGTATTTATGAGACCTACAAAATGAGACCACACGTAAAAAGATCCGACAAATACCAAAAAAGTTATGGCCGCAAACCGAGGCAAGGTGCAGGTTTTGGCACTTGGTAATGCGACGTTGCTTTCTCGCAGATACATATTTGAAATTCTTCAAATTCGTACTTCTAAATAGCCACAACAAAATTGGAGTAGATTTAACAAGTAGCTTTTAAGAATTTCTAATTGTTTATCCCAAAACACCTGTTTTCCGGCCATCACTACTAGTTTATTGAGCAATATACAGGGTCAGTTCAAATTGCATTGTATAGTAAAATACACTAGTTTACCTTGAGAACTTGAATCGCAAACCATTCCGGAAGGTAAATGTTATTATTATGCAAAAAATTATGGGTTACTTTTTTTCTTCTAAACAAATTTGTGAGTAATTCGCAACAAAAGTTCATAGACACATCCGTTTTGTTTTAAAATGTGTACAGTAACATGTTTTTCGAATATCGTAGCGCATTTGTTCAATTACTCACAAATACGAAATATTTGAATTTGTTTAGAAGAAAAAACGTAGCCTTTGTTTTTCTCATAAAAATAACATTTATCTTTCGGAATGGTTCGTGATGCATATCGGCAAGATAAACACGTGTATTTTGAAATGATCTTTTAGTATGAATCCTACGGATCTGAAGAATTTCAAGTAGTTGCGTGAAATTATCGTCACATCACCAAGTGGCAAAACCTGCATTTTGTCCCGTTTTTCGACCATCACATTTTATGCTATTAGTCGGATCTTTACGTATGGTCTCATTTTGTAGGTCTCTAAAAATCTTGTATGAAAAGTTTTTTCGTTCCCGTCAACACTTTCATTGAATCCCAAAAAACACGTTCTCTCGTTCTTTGTTGTCAAATAAAAAGTTTTCACAAAAAAATTGGTGTACCCATTTTATGCGTCCATGTTTTAAATACCCCTTTGAATAACTTGCACCAATAAAACCAGACTTTACAATTATTTCGGGGAAATTTGGTAATGATTACACTAGTAGAAGTGTTTCATAAACCGTGACTGGGTGTGTAGTTGAAACTGTCAAATTTAAGCGTCACCTATTTAGCTCCTAAAACTTGTTCCGTGGTTGTATCGCTGACCAATCTCATGGTATCCGAATTGCTTAAATCTTAAATGAAACCACATCCCAAAATACAAAAAAATCCGAAAAGTTAGTAAATATACTAAGTGACATATAAATCCGAACACCCAGTTTAAATGGTTTTATTTTAATAAAAATTTTGTATAAGTACTTAATGAAGCATAATAAGTAAATGATAAAAATTTCAAAATGATTGCACTGCTTTAAGCCCGTTGACCTTTAATAATGTGTGGATACATCCTGATGTGCTACGCATTCTCCAACGCGCCTAGGCATGCTTCTGATCAGGTGGTCAATGTCCTCCTGTGGTATCTCATTCCAGGCAACCACCAACTCCTCTCGAAGTGCTTCTAGAGTCTGAGGAGGACGTTGCAAATTGAGCAATCTCCTACCCATCATGTCCCACACGTGCTCAATTGGGGATAAGTCGGGAGATCTTGGTGGCCATGGTAACAATGTGACATCATTATGTTGAAAGAAGTCTATTGTGACTCTTGCAACAGGTGGTCGGGCATTATCTTGTTGGAAAGTTGGATCTGCCAGGGTGTCAAGATAGGGTAAAAGATGCGGTTCTAGAACTTCGTGGATATAACGCTGCGCGTTCATGTTACCTCTGATGAAGATGAAAGGTGACCTGGAACCATAAGCTATAGTACCCCAAACCATAACTCCAACAGTGGGATCAACATGTCTTTCAACAAAAAACTGCGGATTCCTCCTTTCACCACGTCACCTTCTAACCCTGGCACGACCATCGTGCATGCCTAAACAAAATCGAGACTCGTCACTAAAGACAATACTGTTCCATTCCTGATCCCAGAGTGACCGTTGTCTGCACCACTCAAGGCGATTACGTCGGTGTTCTCGAGTTAAAGGGAGGACCCAGTGTGGCCGGTATGAAAACAAGCCAAAACTTCTCATTCGACGGTAAACACTTCGCATGCCAATAGGTCTTCCGTGTTCTGCAAACCATTCATTTGCAGTGGACCTGGTAGTGGAGAAACGGTCCCTTAAGGCCAATAATCTTAGGCGGCGATCTTCACAGTCTGTTGTTCTACGGCGGCGTCCAGTGCCCCTTGCACTTTGCGTACGGCCTTCTCGAAGCCATGCCTGACAACACCAAACAACAGTGTCTACACTTCTTTGCACTCTAACTGCAATTGCCCGAAAAGAAAGTCCAGCTTCCCGAAGTCCCACTATACGGCCCCTATCAAACTCACTAAGTTGACGAAATCGTACAGGTCTCCGTACTCTAGGCATCGTAACCGATCGTAAAGGATGTCAAATACCAAAATCCGCCAACGTTGATTCTTTACTGCGGCTGAAATATTCATTTTTAGAGCGTTAGTGAATTAAAAAAAAGCAGTATAAAAACCGGAATGTCCAACTGATAAGGCTGAAATTTTTTTCACTTGTTATTTACAGTAAGATAAATACATTCACCAACTTTTATTAAAATAAAACCATTTAAACTAGGTGTTCAGATTTATATGTCACTTAGTATATTTTAATCCTACACCTGCGGTTTTATTTAGTGGTACGTAAATCATGGACACTGATGAAGGCTAATAAAAAATAAGTGAAATTTCAAAAATATATATTTACACACAATGTACATACTGCAAATCTAAATAAAGGCACTTTTGACTTGAAAGTTGTTTATAACACCAATATAAGAATCTTTTTTCTCAAAAATTTAAGGAACAATGTCATTAAACAACATTTAAGTGAATATTCATCAGATAAAAAAATCGATAGACTAGAAAAATTATCTCCTAAAAATTATTGTCTATTTGCTAGAATGTAGTGTTACAAAGACATAATAGAACAAAAAATTAAATAAATAATAATCCTTATCATCTTCAAGCATACTATGAGCAAAAACTATTAATTATATAGAATCTAAATGTAACACAGCTTGTTTCTCAAAATTAAATAAGTTAATTTAACACTATTCCATAACATCAATTTACACAAAAATCCTTCACAAAATACATAGAGTACAAAATATAAAGAGATGAAACATTAGAGGAAGAGTAAATCAAGTCTATTTTTGCTATAAGAATACCAAATTAAACGCCTTGAAATATTGTTCAAGAACAAGCTCTTTGAATAAATTCAAGTGTCTTTTGTTGTGATATTTTTGGATTAACACGCAAATTAGTTTAATTCTCTATGTTGATGGTAATAAGAAAACGCTGAAACTTTTATCTATCATCTATTAATCTGGTATTGTCATATAGAATAATAGACGCGAAATGTAGTGCATAAATGTTAAAATAAGTTTGACAATTTCACCATAGAAATACTTTAATCCAGGAAATGCTTAAATTGTTTCTTTCCAAACCTAGCAATGAAGAGCTTTATGTTAATACGAGAATAGTCCTCAAATGAATATTTAATTTTTTATGGCTGTGGAAAGCCTGAATTTATCAAGATATTTGTGTTCTGAAACAGTGGATTCACTGTATAATTTCGTGCGTGAGCTTCTAATGATTTGTCAGTCAGGCTTCACCCTGTATGAAAACCACTTATTACTATTATTTTTTTTTGCCAATCAAAAATAACAGCAGTACTAAAAATCCTTCGCGAATTGCGTTAACAATGGATAACAAACAACACAAATTATAAAACAAAGTGGATCCCCCATATTGGCTGGAATCTGACTGCCAGATCAATCAACACACTCATAGAAACTTCACAGTACTGTCACCGCAATCACATGAAAATTGCCCGAGTCTCAAAACGTTCCCTGGCTACAAGACGCACTGAAAAAAATAACGTGACCACCTTTTATAAAACAAGCCTCGTGAGTCCGATATTTCAACAACGCTGACTGATAAAATTTGACTATGCATATTCTCAGGTCGTATATTTTTGAAACTCACATCAGTATCTGAATCTTTCATTTGTTAGATATGAATGATTCAATGCAAAACATAATATTATTTACAAATAGATACACTCATAGCAACAATATAATTTGTCATATCAACACAGGTCGTTGAACACTCTGCAAAAATATCAATAATTATATGCGACACCCCCGTAAATGTCCGAGAAAATAATTATCCAACATTTGTTTGTTCAAAGGAACTATTTATGATTTTTGATGGAAATACCAACTGAAATTTAAGGCAATACTTGATAATGGCTATGGAAAATGTTATTCAATGATTCGATACCGTTTATAAAAAATAATACTGTTGCAATCTTGGCGGAGAAAAAAAAATGCGAATGAAATGAGTATAAAAATTTCTTTTTAACGCAAAAACATACCACGAAATTAAAACAAAAATGAAAAACTTCATGCTTTACATATACAGGAAAAGCCAAATTTGTCTGACGGCTTGAGTTCGATGTGTACGAGTGAGAAGCGCGAGAAGTGTGTATCACACATGTTAGAAAGAGATAGAAGGCGGCTGAAGAGCGAGGGTCATCACCACATTGCCTAACAACGGAACGCAGAAGGTCGTGCAATGCGCCGCGTTGCCAATTACACCAAAAAATGTTCACACAGGCTCCTACAGTAGGTTAGGTTACTGTCAAACCCAATATGGAGGTCTGTTCGAACATTTGATTTAATATTTTGTTTACATCAGCAGGCAGCAGCGGTGGCCGCAGTAGTAGACTCTTCGGTCTCCTGATCAGTCGCCGTGCGCTGTGCGGGTTCGAGTCCCGTCCCAGGAGAAATTTTTCTCTTGGCTATGGATGTTGTGATTGTCCGTAGGTGGTAGACGGTCTCTGACTGTCGAACGCGGAGGTACCACCCGACGGATCTCGTAGGCGGAGCCAGAATGTGTGCATGTTGCATGCACACGTGTTCCCTCGCCAGAGTCCGTGTGGCGTTCCCCCTTTTCCATGTATCCCCCTATAGCCCCACGGTACCCAAATGGGTGCTTAGGCCTTAGGCCTTCGTGGTAGTTGAAATATATATAAAAAAAAACATTTTCATTAGAATTATTTAATTCAATTTTGATGCGATTTGTTTTATTTTGCGTCAGCGTTGCTAAGCAAAGTGGTGATCAGCTTCGCTATCCATTCTTCTATCTATTTCTAACACATGTGCCTAGACACACTTCTCTCTCTTACACATTGAACTCAAGCCGTCAGCCAAATTCGGTTTTCAGTGTATATGCAATAAGAAATATGCACGATATCTTTGCAGAGTGTGATCATTCCATATCACATTATTTCCTTTATACTCCCTTTTTTCAATAGGCGAAACAGAAGTAGCACCAATTTCCAGTGTTTATCGTTCCACAAAAGCTATAAACAACAATTATTTGATTACCACCTGCATAAAAGTATGCGCTCTCTTTACCGTTATCATACTATATTAATTTAAAATCAATTGCAATTTCGAGAAAGAGTTCAAGTGTACGTTAGTTTCTGTCAAACTTGTGAACAACTTTTGACAGCAAGGGAATAAAAATATATTTTTATACGCCACTGTACATTTCGTTCCCAAAGTAAATATATTGCACGATCTACCATTACGATTTTTTTATGGGTAAAATGAATGATTTCTTGATAGCAAGGCACATTAGGTTATAAAACTATCTCAAATTTTATTCGGTTTGATACATGTAAAGGCAGTGTAGTTAGTACGTTTCAATATCCTTTTTAAAAAGTTTTGACTCGTATGTAGACACAGATTTCTACTACCAGAACAAAAGTCCGCTCATTATATGATGCAGTTGTCATCTTAGATTCACTTTTTAAATTCAAAATGCTGCAAACTCTGGCTTAGCTATAAATCTGTAAAGCGAATTGTTACCAGATTTGTATATTAATTGAAGGCACAATGTTACTTTCTTATCACTCTGTGTGCTGTCAACGAATAACAATAAAAATACTAGTACGATCAAAAACACAGAGCATATTAAACAAAACAAAAACAACATATCGCAAATAAATACATATATTGCGCGTTATAATTATAGCAATATTTTTATTGCAACAGACTGTTATATTCTGCATTTGAACCATGAGCCTGTTGGGTTAGACCAAGCATTTTTAAAGAGATAAATCAATGAATTGAAAGATGACTACCAAATATATTATAAACGATTACTAGCACTTCCATGAAATTTCAACTGCAGATTCATAGAGGACTCAAGATTCCTGTTAGAAGATGCGAACATTCATCTCAGGCTTTTTCTGAATCGATTTTTTTCCATAATCACGCTTGCATGAATAAAGAGGTTGTCGGACAGTAACCCGTTGAAAATGTGTTCAATGTTTTCCAGCAAATTACAAACAAAATTTTTGTCGCTCTGAACGGATTTCCGTTATGTTAGAGAAATGTCCGCATGGCCCATTGCGCGTTATTAACAACTGAATGACAGTATTTTAAAATAAATTAAAAGCAAAATACTGTTCGAGGTTTTGTAGGGGAAGGGTTGAATTTTAATTTAGACACTTTCTTATATACACCGGAGCATCCGTGCAGGAAGAAGCCTAAATACCAGTTCACCGCGGCTGCTATGAGGAGCTTAAAGAAACTTTGATAACTCGAATTTTTGAACTGCCTAAGGTTAGTAGAACTGGAAAGACTCCTAATGTTATACCAGCGTTTTCAGGCATTGAAAAACGCGTTTTCATGATTTTCGGACTTGAGATCGCTTATAACTCGAAAATAGCCAATTTTAGAGAAAGTTTACAGTTCCTTTTTTGTTCAGAAAAAAAAAATCAGAGTTGAAAAAAAAACATTGTTTTGTAATTTGATTTAAAAAGCTAGTAGTCATGTCATTTGCGCTCACCCCCCGAGAATGCGAAAATTAGTTTTTGGAAATGTGCAGATAATTTGCTTCGACATCTCAATGCCAGATTGTTGTCTTATATCCACACAAGACAAACAACATTGCGCTCTTGAGGTGTCGAAGTACTATTTCTCGTATTTGGAATCCATCAACAATGCAGGTACATTAGTGGTCGCGTTTTTCGAGGACGTTAGGGTTTTCGGGACGGTGAGCGAGGGCGGTGTGTCTGGTGTATCCAAAACAACATATTACCTTATGCTCGCTTGTCACTTTGGGCAGGCTGGAAGTTTTTTGGAAGCCTGCTCCAGGTGGTCATGGGCTTTGGTGGTTTTACGTGATTCCGTCTTGAGCATTTTTTGAATTTTTCTGTCGTTAATATAATACCGTAAATACATATTTTTAATTAAACATTTAAAAGTGCATTGCCAATGTCATTGAGTTAAACGTGATTATGAAAAAAAAATCGAGAATCGACTCGGAAATTTTCCCCAACAAACGCAACATTTTTGTAACAGTTCCCTACGCTAATAAACAAAACTGTCGATCAATAATAATAACAGGTAGACGAAAAAAATATTACTACAATTTTAACGCGCAGCATAGTCAAAAAATCTTGTGCGTTGGCACGATACAGACGAACATACAGATACTTGGTTGCCACACTTAGGATAAAAATAGGAATTAGCACTTGTGCGTGAGCGTATGTGGCAAGAGCGTTCAGAAGGAAAGGAAGGGGTACAAGGAAAGGAAAAAAAAAGGAGATTAATATCCACACATATGCATCCCCTGTGATATGCGTCATTGGGGTTCCACCTCAAAGACACAGCCTTTCGCGTTCATCGCCTTACACCGTCCTTGGTCATAATCCTACAAAAAAGAAAAGAATATACAGGGTGCTACAAAATGTTGACGTGAAAATTGAAGGACAGATTTTACATGTTAAAATGTGAAAAAGAATCTGTATAAACATACAGAGTTACCAGTAGAAGAGGCACTCGAGAAACAAAATTCGGCTACCTAGTTGTCATATTTTTTCAGATTTTCCTGTTAACTGAGTATTCTTCAATTTCGATAAGCTTCTCCGCCTTTAAGGTGGCACGTCCCTTTTTTTAGATTTCTTTTCAGCTTCCTGTTTGCAACAGTATTCTAAGTCCTTTTGACTAAAAAACAATTCTTTATTTTTTTTTTTGTCAAACAATGCATTTTTTGTGCAGTTTATTGTGTACATCTTTGAAATTGGGTGTGAATATTCCTCTTTTATGGAAGAATGAAACGAGTGATTACTTTTGTTCTTATCACTTTTCCTTTTCGAAAAATTGCAGCAAACAGGAAGCTGAAAAAATATCTAAAAAAATGGACGTGCCACTTTAATAGTTCACTTCACAATTCTCGAAAATCGACTGAGGTATATTAATGAGTTATGACGAACTCATATTAATTATCACAGGCTACACATGGACCAAATTGTTACAACAGCACGCCACTGGTTTAAAAAACATACTATTCATATCTCAAATCCAGATTGTTTCTTCTTAAAAGCTGCCACTTGAAGTTTTTCGTCCGAAGGCTCCAATTTCGAAATAAATATTATTTTCTTAACATGAAGATGATCGTTATTAAAAAATAGTCAGGCTAACATTTTTTTAACGAACATAACGAAAGAAGCAGAATCATGTCTTAGAAAAAACAACCTCACAGTTGTACAAGCGCAGTGAGCAGAGTGATAATGACGAATTGTTACTTACCTTTTACTAAAATTTTAAATTGATTTGATGCTATACTTAACTCCCATCAAACGTATACGGGGCCTCCCTGGTTCTCATTGTCATCTAGGTTGATTTTGTTGAACGCTGCTAGGCCCCCATCATCAAAAAACCGCCTGCAAATTCAAAGATTGCATATTACTTTACAGTACTGCAAATCCTCCACTAAGCACTGAAGAATGTAAGTGTGATTTTTTAGACCTTTGATCAACATCTTCTCCAAGAAAATCCACAAGCTTATGTTGTTCTTGGACGTTCACATACAATTTACATCGTCACATGCACTATTTTTCTTTGACTGAAAATCGTTTATTCTAAAGTTTCAAGGAACGATAATCCCACCACCACCCCTTTAATTATTATTCTTACGCTTTAGCATTCTCAAAATTTCTCACGTGGCCGGAAACACCAACCAAAAACCAAATAGTCATTTTGTTAGTGACAACACACATGCCAGATCTACCGTAAAAACAACAGATCTATTATTTTTACTAAAAATGTCCTCTACCGTTGTTTAAGATCCACATTTGTTCTGGCAATACTGCAGCTGAGTGATAACATTTACATCTTTGAGGTTAACTTATACAGGAGAAGGAGAGGTAATGGCGGCTCGTCAAAAAGACCACATTATACAGTTTATCAGGCGCTCTAAGAGATATACGAGGGGCACGCTATATATTTTGAGATGCACATTAACTATACTAGTTAAAACCGGCAACAGTGCACTATTAGAAAGAGCAGTCCTTTATTATTGAGCTACGAAGAACGTTGTGGCAGGCCATGTTCTAGTGTGAAGATTGGGAATTTTCTGGTGAAAAATGTTGATCTATGATTTTACTAATCACGCTAACATACCTGAACGTAAACTCGAAGAACCCATGGAACAATTTTGAATTATCAACCAGCTCCTCGGAGGTGCTTGAATCCATACTGGGCGAATTCCTTAGTTTATCCGGATCGATGGGGTCGAAATTGGAGGTGTCCGTCGGATAATCGATTTTCGGTTTATGAGGCGCAGGTTGCCTTCTCAGCCCCTTTTCGAAATCGATCTCCCTGAAGAACGGATGCGACTTCACCTCGTTAGCGTTCTTGCCTAACCTTTTGTCCGCGCTGCAACACAGCTTCAGGATCAGATCAGTGCTCTCTTTGGACAGATTCGCCTGTTTCGGGATCTGCAGTGTCGTTTCCCAGTTTATCACCTGGAGAAGATATATGTTATAATAAACTGCATTTTCATGAGAACGTTCAAAATGACACAGAGTTACAGGGAAAACGAGTTTTTTGAAAATACATCATTTGTCGGAAATCAGTAGCTCTGGTTGACCAGATACCATAGTCAGGAAGAAGAAAAGAGACGGCGTTAAACCCCTCTGAGAAAAAAGTTAGTTACCAGCATGTATAAAAGAGAAATTAAATATATCAAGTCAGTCAAACATGCCCATACAATTAGTCCATAAACATTCTTTCCCTGTCCTACCGGTACTCCATCTGGCAACGTCTCCTTTCCCGATACATGGCGGCACAACGCGTCAGTATGGCCAGAACACTCACCAAGACGCAAGAAGCATTTCTCTACCATTGTTTTATGGACAAATACGTACGGGAAAATCTATGACAAGTGAAATTTGACTAATGAAACATATAACTACCGAGGTTGGGTGCGTATAAATATAGTAAAATAACCCTCCCCCTTTTCTCACAATTTTTTACCCCTGATTTTTTTTTCTAAAATGATTAGGATTGATTAAAAAAATAATATTGACTTTGCATACCTTATACTGCGTTTCCGCTGGCGTGTTAGCCAGAAACGGCGGCTGTCCGACGAGCATTTCGTACAGGATGACACCAACGCTCCACCAATCGCACACGTGCGTGTATCCGGTCCGTTGCAGCACTTCCGGCGCGATGTAGTTCGGCGTGCCGACTAAAGAGTGCGCCAAGCAGCGGTGTTCGCGCCTGCGCCGTCGTTCCAAAGGTTTCAGCACCACGCATTTGCACTCCTCGCTCCAGTCGTCGATAGGGTCCATCGAGTCTTGACGGTTGTGTTCTACAACATAAGTAAATTGGATGTATCTACGACCTTGAAAAAAACAACGTTTTTCATTGAATCCGGTTTCAGAAAGAATCGCAGCACATATACTGCACTACAGAAAATCCTGGATGATTTGTTGAAAGATCGTCATGATGGTGAAATGCCAGCACTCCTGTTATTGGATTTTAGCACAGCTTTCGATTTAGCGGATCGGAGCTTGCTGTGTGCCAAGTTAAAATATTTGAATTTTTTGAGCTATTGAAATCATATCTTTTTGATAGTGAACAAAATGTTCTTATTGATAATAAAAAATCTGATGCGTTGCCGATGTACAAGGGTGTTATGTCCTATGCTTGGTCCATTTGCTATTTATACTGTACATATTTGATCTTAGTGACACTGCTGAAGGATGTATAATTCAAAATACCCGATAACACATTCAGCTCAGTTAAGATAAGGGAAGTACACCTCCTGCTCAAGAAAAACTGTACGAGGGATGTCTTTTAAGTTTTGCCTATAGAAACATAGTAGGCCGCGCGGATCGAACGTCAGTACTGAATCTCACTACAGTGCATTTTTAAGTGTCACCAAGTCATTAGAAAAAAGGAACTCAACCGAGAACATTTTCGCGCCATAATTTATTACAACTTTCAGAGACAATTATCGCTACAAGAATGCCTTGCTGAGTTACTGTCTGTTTTCAGCAACGAAGCGTCATATCAGTCGACAATTTCCCGTTGGTATGGAGAATTCAAACGTGGAAGGGTGAGTCTTAGCGACAATCCCAGGGTGGTGCACCAAAAACGGCAGTCACCCAGGAAGACGTCGATGCTGTGCGCAAAGTCATCATTGAAGATAGACATGTGACATATCGCGAGATTGAAGCGTCCTTGAAGATCTCAAAGACCTCAATTCAAAAAATTTTACATGAAGATTTAGGAGTAAGAAAATTAGTTTCTCGTTGGATACCCCACCTGTTGACTGAAGAGCAGCCAGGGTTAATTGGTGTCAAAAAACGCTTGACCGTTTTAATTCCGGAAACTCAAAAAATGTGTACAGCAATGTTAGTGGTGATGAATCGTGGATTTACTGTTATGAACCAGAAAATAAACGACGGTCGGTTGTTTGGGTGTTCCAAGGTGAAGAAAAGCCAACAAAAGTCATCCGTTCTCGAAGAACTAACAGATTTTCTTGTGTGTAAATGTTATTATGCCGTCTCTGAGTTTGTTATGTTATGATTTATTTGTGTGTTTGTTTTATACATATATTTATTTGTGTTGTTTTATTAGTTTTTATTCCGACGAATCCCATACATACTTTGTAATGTCTCTTAGGATATAGTCGAAATCACGAAAGATGACGATTACGTCATCGTTTCAGTCTGTAGTAGAGACAAACGACGGTGATTTGTGAGCATATTTAATGAAGTTTCTGATATGTTAGACAGAGACAAACAGCATTTTATTGTCTAAATAAACTGTATTGCTAATTTGCATGCATCCGACAAAGATAGACGATGTTTTCATGTTGCATGATCGATCATATTTGAAAGATGAATAGTTAGGTTATGTTAAAGCAGGTTATGTTGTTTCCGAATAATACTTTGTTCTTTGGTGTTCCTGTCTTAAGGTATTCTACTCATTACTGCTTTTTTCAAAACAAAAACTCCCCATTATCAGTGAATCAGAAATAATCAGTGAAATAACCTAACTTCGCAAAATCATAATATAAATTTGTTGTCATTATGTTCCTGACATCGTGATTTTATCATCGAGGTACGTCCATTGATTACTTCAGTACAATTTAGGGTATGACGTAATAGTCATCTTTCGTGATTTTGACTATAATAAAATAATTTGAATTTGAAGTGTTTCGAAAAAGATGGTCGCGACATTTGTGTCAAAAGCGGGTCATATTGCAATAATTCCTCTTAAGGAGCAAAGAACTGTTACTGCGGATTGGTATACCACCATTTGTTTGCCAAAAGTCATCACCGAGCTTCGGAAAATCAACCCCGAAAGAAGAATCATCCTCCACCAAGACAATGCAAGCTCGCACACAGCCCAAAAAACAAGGCAGTATTTAACGGAAGAAAACGTGGAATTATTGGACCATCCTCCATATAGTCCCGATCTAAGTCCTAACGATTTTTTTACTTTCCCGAAAATTAAAAACAGACTGCGTGGTCAAAGGTTCCAGTCACCAAAAGAAACAGTTGACGCATTCAAAAATGCCATTTTGGATCTGCCAGCAAACGAGTGGAATAAGTGCTTCGAAAATTGGTTCGAGCGCATGCAGATGTGTATTAATGTTCGAAAAACAATAAAGTCATTTAAAACTACCTACCGTGTTGTTTTATTTCCATATGCAAAACTTAAAAGACATCCCTCGTACAATTGTATTAATAATACAACCAACTAATAACGTGTGGCTTGAAACTAAACTCCGACAAAACAAATAATACTTTTTTTACCACATCATAATGACTTAAACTTGCATCTAAATGTCACCGTAAACGGATCAAGTATAGAAGAATTTTTGCAATTTGTTAGAAAAATATTGATCACTAGATATTTCAAATTGAGAAACTTACCATTGGGTTGATAGTATTTAGAATTGTGCGTCCACCTGAATCCGGTACACAGACCGAAATCGGTGAGTTTGATATGTCCATCCTTATCTATGAGTATGTTGTCAGGTTTTATATCTCTGTGGATGAAGCCCATTTTGTGAACACTCTCCACCGCACAAGCGAGCTCAGCTATGTAAAACCTACGACAAAAGATTAAGCATACTCATATATTATGACAGAGGCAAGTAAAACAAATAGCTGATACCGATGTTAATCGTAATCTATTAACAATTTAAAAGTACCCGTATATTACCTGGCCAAACTCTCTTCAAAGATGCCTAATTTGATAAGCAACGACATGAGATCGCCGCCGGGTATATAGTCCATAACAAAATACAAAATGTCCGAATCCTGAAATGAATAGTACAGCTTCACCACCCATTCATTGTCAGCTTCGGCCAGAATGTCCCTTTCAGCTTTTACGTGGGCGACTTGATTCCGCTTCAAAACGTCCGCTTTCCTCAATGTTTTCATAGCGTAAAGGTGGTTTGTGTCTATTTTACGCACTAACGTCACTTCACCGAATGCACCTACACCTAGAAATAAAAGGATTTATAGCGACATCTTGCTGGCAGTTTGAGAAGCAGTTAAGGAAGTCAATTCTCACGAACAAATTGAAACCTTCCCAACTAACAATTATCACTCCTATTAGAGTTGCAAGAATGATTATACAGTATTCCTTACACAGCATTGTATACTGTAAGAACATTGGCAAAACCCTCTTAGAACAGCTATACAAGCGGAATGGGCACACCTACTAGGACACTTCAGTCATTTAAGAGGTTGTATAAGGGCTGCAGGTAACAGTTATACAACAAAAGTGTAAGCCCCTTGCAGCCGCTATAGGACATTTGCGTCAGTGCAAGATTCAGTTTTTGTCAACTATACAACTATTCTGTTACGTGATTCTACTTTATTGCAACCAAACTATTTCTTATGTATTGTATAGACGAAGTGAAGAATACGTATATAACTAACACATTACAATCATCTTGTTCACTTACATATCAGCCATTGCGAATTTCATACACAGGTACATGATAAACTTCTACACTGTGATATAGGCCTATTGAATTACTTGCGCAGCAAATTTTCTTGTGATTATCGTGCAAAGTATACTAAGTGACATATAAATCCGAACACCCAGTTTAAATGGTTCTATTTCAATAAAATTTTGTATAAGTACTTAATGAAGCATAATAAGTAAATGATAAAAATTTCAAAATGATTGCACTGCTTTAAAGCCCTTTGACCTTTAATAATGTGTGGATGCACCCTGATGTGCTACGCATTCTCCAACGCGCCTAGGCATGCTTCTGATCAGGTGGTCAATGTCCTCCTGAGCAATCTCCTACCCATCATATCCCACACGTGCTCAATTGGGAATAAGTCGGGAGATCTTGGTGGCCATGGTAACAATGTGACATCATTATGTTGAAAGAAGTCTATTGTGACTCTTGCAACATGTGGTCGGGCATTATCTTGTTGGAAAGTTGGATCTGCCAGGGTGTCAAGATAGGGTAAAAGATGGGGTTCTAGAACTTCGTGGATATAACGGTGCGCGTTCAAGTTACCTCTGATGAAGATTAAAGGTGACCTGGAACCATAAGCTATAGCACCCCAAACCATAACTCCAACAGTGCGATGAACATGTCTTTCAACAAAAAACTGTGGATTCCTCCTTTCGCCACGTCGCCTTCTAACCCTGGCACGACCATCGTGCATGCCTAAACAAAATCGAGACTCGTCACTAAAGACAATACTGTTCCATTCCTGATCCCAGAGTGACCGTTGTCTGCACCACTCAAGGCGATTACGTCGGTGTTCTCGAGTTAAAGGGAGGACCCAGTGTGGTCGGTATGAAAACAAGCCAAAACTTCTCATTCGTCGGTAAACACTTCGCATGCCAATAGGTCTTCCGTGTTCTTCAAACCATTCATTTGCAATGGACCTGGTAGTGGAGAAACGGTCCCTTAAGGCCAATAATCTTAGGCGGCGATCTTCACGGTCTGTTGTTCTACGGCCGCGTCCAGTGCCCCTTGCTCTTTGCGTACGGCCTTCTCGAAGCCATGCCTGACAACACCTAACCACAGTGTCTACACTTCTTTGCACTCTAACTGCAATTGCCCAAAAAGAAAGTCCAGCTTCCCGAAGTCCCACTATACGGCCCCTATCAAACTCACTAAGTTGACGAAATCGTACAGGTCTCCGTACTCTAGGCATCGTAACCGATCGTAAAGGATGTCAAGAACCAAAATCCGCCAACGTTGATTCTTTACTGCGGCTGAAATATTCATTTTTAGAGCGTTAGTGAATTAAAAAAAAGCAGTATAAAAACCGGAATGTCCAACTGATAAGGCTGAAAATTTTTCACTTGTTATTTACAGTAAGATAAATACATTCACCAACTTTTATTAAAATAAAACCATTTAAACTGGGTGTTCGGGTTTATATGTCACTTAGTATAGTTACGCAATTTCTGCGGGCTCCGTATTTGATTCATATTTTAATAATGATCCAAAGTATGTCTAGATTTTTACGATGGAAAACTGAACTTATTTGCGTTAAATCTTCCACAAATCCTATATTTAGACACAATTACACTAATGTTTATCACTTTATATCTGTAATTTCGAAATGAAACATAATTATTTAATATTAAATAGAGGAATAAAGGTTTGCCCAATATGGCGGGTGGTTATATATAATCACGGCATCGTCAATGTTGTCTTTGGTTTATTAGAATATTTTGTTGCTGCCTGCAGGTGTTATACAACAATTTGACAAATGTGTGAAATAAAATACCGGCAGAGTCGAATGATTTACCCAGAATTTGTAGCAGATCTATATCTTCTGTTTGAACAGTTGATAAAACCTTTCGAACCAATATGCATGCGTTGTTTGTCTTAAAACACTGGTTATGGCATTTTAACAAAAATATGACAGCAGAAAGGTAGGTTATGGTGAAGTTGTATACCAACATATTTAGCAACAAATGTATGCCGAGCACAGCAATTTTGTACTACAAAAGTTGTAATATTGTTGCATACGTACAGTCTTTAACAGTTACTAATCAACAGTTGTATAAGTGCTTCCATTGCGAGCAATTTGTTAGCTACAGTAGTAAATTTGCACAGCAAAACAGCAAGGCTCGGGTTTGTTTTATAAACGTTACCATTTTGACTACCGTACAAATATGCCGTATAAAATAGTTGTATAAACGTTTATGCAACAGTTAAAAATTTGTGCTATAGGGTGTTGTATAACTATGCTATAAGAATATTTTAAGCACCTCATTTTAGAGCAAATATGTTGCAGAAAGCAAATTTGCATTCCACACAATATTAAGCCAGCATTTGGTGCTCAGGCAACAACAATAGAAAGCTTTTATGGCTGAACGGTTCTTTTACCAAAAGCTTATAGCACTACTTTGCTAGTTGGGTTATGGAGAATGTTGGGCCATAAATTATTTAGGCCAGAGAATAAAACAAATAAACTTAAACATTTTTATACTGTAAATCTATAGATGCAAAGCACGGTGTGCCTCAGGGCAGTGTTCTAGGGCCGCTACTTTTCATTATTTACATTACGTAAATGATATCCAAAATTACAGAACATATCGATAAAAATTAATGATGATACCATAACATTTGGAAAACAAATTAAATATGTAGAATTATAAACCAAAATTGTAGGATGTCATTCATACAGGCCAATCGCAGTCATGAGGCCAAATTTAAATTTAAAATGTAGGAAACCAGACGAGACAAACTTGATTTTATCAGAAAATAATAAACAATAAAACGCCAACTTATATTAGCAAATTTATGTTAAAAAGATCTGGTATGCTATCAAATGACACAAAATCAAGACAATTATTACATTGAAAGTTACAAAACCAGGAACTTAGAATTTTTTTTATGGAGGAATAAGAGGTTATAATTTTTTTCCATTAGAAATAAAAATAGCTCAAAATTAACAATATTCAAGAGGAAACTAAGGACTTTGGATATGTGATATCTGATTTGTATGTTCACGTTAATGTAATATTGTAGCTAAAAGCTAAATAACCACCCAAACACCAAATGTGAAAAATGCTGACAGCTAGAAGCAATCTACAATAGCAATAATACGATTGTTTTCGTTCCAGTATCAAAGTGACGCAGAGTCTGCAAGTTGTTGGACGAAACTAACTTGGTTAAAAGAAAATTGAATACCAAATATTCTTGACTATAACTTAGTCGGCATTAAATAAAATGACAAATATATAAATAGAAAGAGACTTACCAATTGGTTTAATCCTAACAAACATACTCTTATCCATTTTAGCCCTTTTTAACCTAATGTAATTCGATTCTTTCTGTGATAGCATCTTCCTCATCTGCATCTGAGCCTCAGGTCCAAGACCTATTTTGTTCATTTCTTTTTCTAACTGCATACGCCTAAATAACCTTTGCCTGAAAGAAAAAAATACAATGCAATAATGAATTCATGGTTTTGCGCAATTAAACCTTAGTACCAGACTATAGTTATAGTGTGCAATTATGAAGGTGTTCAGAGTCAGCATTACTCAGGAGCCGAGTGACAGCCAAGTAGTCGCATTGGAGTAGAGAACATTGTAGCTTGAATTGATTTTTTTTTCACCGCGTGATATCACTTATCGTAATGTCAAAATACTATCCTAAAGCGAAATTTGACCTACATTTTATGAATCATACTAAAAGCAATCACATTAATTGGATTCTATTCATAATATAAAAAATGAAGGTCACTCATAATAAAAATATATATCATGCCATTAAGAACTGTGCTACCCACTGTGGAAATCTTTACGGGATCCCAGCGGCACAACGGCGGAATATTGATGACCCAGAACACTTTTTTAATGTTTCAGTATAACATTTATCGACTGTCATACCTATACGATTTGATAACGTTCTCTATATGCTGTTCCATGAAGAACTTGAACGCCTGCGGCGAGTAATTCTTCACTTTACAATCCCGCCTTTCTTCTTCTTTTTCCTTACTGATCTTCTTCCGTTCAGGTATCGGCGATTGGTGCTTGATCTTCATGTGGGGCGGTACTTGCGGAGGGGGCGTGTCTCCCCCGCCCCCACTACCGTTTTTACCGCCTCCGCTGTCTGCACCGCCTATTCCGTTACCGTTACAGCACACGTGGTGGTTTTTCACGGAAGATGACGCTGTAAAAGAATCGTTATATGCATCGTCGACGTTATAAGATATGATATGAAAATATGTCCAATCAACTGTAGTTTGTTGGGTTTTAAAAATAAGTAGTTTGGATATTACATGAACCTTTAGTTCCTCCTTAGTTTAATAATTCATATAAAGCTGTAATCTGTCACATAAATGTATTTTTTTATGTAATGGTAAACAATAAATAAATAAATCTAGCACCAACGTTCTTTAATTGTATTTCCAGACATTGGTAATATCAAAGAACAACAAAAGGTTATGTGACATTGTAGTAATAAAAGTGATAATGGCAGTTGTACCACAAAAATCGATGAAGAGAACTATACTAACCTGTAGGTGGTAGGGGTGGTGCAACTCCGACGTTGCCATCCAGTCCACATAATCTTCCTTCTCCCGAACTAGTTGATTGGGGACTGTCCGATCTCATATCGGTCACAGCAGGTGAGTATTTTCGTTGTAAAGGCGGGTGTGGATGGATATGCGGACTCGACCTAATATAGAAAGGAATAATAAAAAATAGCGTTGTACAAATTTCAATTTGACGTTTAGTATGTCAAGAAAAAGTCGCGATATTTTTTTTTTTAGAATGAATATCGACAATTTTGTTTATTGATGCCCTTCCCCACCGACACGGGACCAGCCCACTCGATGTAGTACACATTCGAAAAACATGCGTTCTTTCTGACGGACCCTGTACATATATAAGGATCGTTATATAAACACAGAATCACATATACCTATATAACTAAAAATATTAAGTAAACAAAGGCTGTGATATTAAACAAAATTAAAATAAGTGCGGAACCGAAGAATATATCAAAAATAACGTCCTAAAGTAGTGTTTTATCTTGGATTTGGTTTACGCATTACTCACCTTGGCGAAGGCTGCATCTGATGACCATCTATCGGGCATATATGTTGTGTTGCCGTCGGGTCATCTCCCACTCCTATCGCGACAGAGGCGGGCGTGGGCGTGTACGGAGGCGGCGGTGGCGCCCGCTGTTGTTGCGCTTTGGCAGCTTTAGCTTGCATCGTGGAGGCGTACGATGGCGGTTCCGTTGTCGGGACGTTCACCACGCCGGCGCCTGCACCGGCAGGGCTGCCTGTTGGGAGTGGGGCGGCTGGTTTTGGTACCACTGTCGTGTAGCTGAAAACGAAATTAGGAACATGTAACGTCAGTCATTACTACAATTGTAGAACGCGTTGATTGTCATAGTCTTTTCTGTCCTTTCTTTTTTGCACCTGTTCCGTGTCAGCGTCAGCGCTCTCATATTGTGAAGTTATGTTTTCTTCTTGAAATGTAGGAAATTTCAGGCTGATAAAATATGATATAAATCAAAAGCATAGGCAAATAGATATTTGTGACATAACCTCAAAATAGAGCGCTGACCCGGAAAAGCAGAAAACTATGAAAATCGAGGCGTCCTACCATTGTAGGAACGACTGACGATACGGCCATAAATCCATTGAAGCAGTGCAAGGTAAATTTTTAAAACAGCTGAACATAGACTCCTTGAAACACCACAGGGAAATTATTGATTTATGTTTTCAGTTTAAACTAGTTAATAGTGACATAGATTGCCCAGAGGTGCTTGCACAAATAAATCTTAATGGCAATGAAATACGAACTCGCAATACAGAACTGTTAAAGAGTCAATATCATTCTAACAATTATAGTATGAATGAACCAGTAACCAAAATTCTTAGATCTGGCAACGCCGCTGTTAGCTACAACATAGAGATTTTCAGTAGCAATATCAGGCACATCAAAAACCACATAAAAAATGTTTCTATTTAACTTTAGTTTGTCAAGTATAAGTAGGTTAGGTATCACATGAATCTTCAGTTTAATAATTTATATAAACCTATTGTTATCTGTCACATAAAAGTAATTATTTTTAAGTAATGAGAAACAAAATTACAATGTACTTGTTTACTACAGATCTCCAAGCTGTAATATTAGCCGATTTTTGGACTTTTTTGAGAGTGTTTGTGAAAAACAGTATTATCGAAATTGCTCCACTGTGCACTTGGAAGGCTTCAATATAAATTTTGATAATCAAGATTTTTATGTAGAAAAATTTAAACAGGTAGAGAACTTTCATGGTCTATTGCAAAAAGTTAATGACTACCCAAGGATTACAAACTTTTCACGAACTAAGATCGGTTTAATAATAACCAATGAAAAGAATTTGAGTATTAAGGTTTTACATACTCCAAAAATAAGCGACCATTCGTGGATATGTTTCGAGGTGGAAAATATGTTTAATGAGAGAGAATCAAGAGAAATCACAGTTATTGACTTTAAAACGTTACGAGAGTCACTCTTACAAGCCAATATCACTGACACTTCTCAAAAATTATGGATTGTATGGAGAACTGCACAAATTAGGAAAGTGGTATATCAAAGAAAAAAGCCAACACTCTGGTTTTCACAAATATTTCTAGACTCTAAATTGATGCGTGACAATGACTAGAAAAAGTTTATGGTCACTCAAACTGAGGCAGATTCGATCCATTATAAGAAATCAAGAAACAAGTGTTTAACAAATGTTAGAAATGGAAAGAAAAACTATTATGAAAACAAAATCGATAGCAATAAAAATAACAGTAAAATGATTTGGAAGACACTAAAAAATATTGTATCTCCCAGTAGGAAGAATGAGCTATCAAGAATGTGCTTCGAAGATGGTATAGTAACACAAGAAATATTGATTGCAGAACGAATGAACGCTTATTTTATAGAAAGTATAAATGAGATAGTGGAATCAATCGAAGATGGGGATCAAAATCTATCTCACATGCAAGTTACTTATAATTCTTATATGAGACAATTCCAAACAATAAATATCAGCCATCTTTCAAAAGCCAGTACAAGAGTGAAATCGAATAACATCTTTCAAAAATGGCTATGAAGGAATGTTTCAACATTATTGAAGAGAAGTTATTAATACTAGTGAATCACTGCTTAGCGTATGGCGAATTTCCTTCAAAATTAAAATGTTCTACAATTACTCCTGTTCCGAAAGTGCAAAATTCCGAGTTGTATACAAACACGCGACCAATTAATGTACTGCCAGATGTCGAGAAGCTCTTAGAAGGAATCATATACGAACAAGTCATTGAATATATTGAAGAAAATAAGATATTGACAAAATTTCAAGCAGGATTCAGAAAAAGGTTTTCTAGTGAAACAGAAATTCAAATGGTAGTAGAAGAATGGAGGCGAAATATGGATGAAAAAAAGTTTACAGTAACATTGTTCTTAGATTTCAAGAGAGCATTTGAGACTATTGACAGGAAGAAATTGTTAACGAAATTGCATTGCTATGGATTTCAAGGTTCAGTATTCAACTTATTACAAAATTATTTAATCAATAGAAGTCCAAGAACTAAAATTGGCAATACATTATCAAACATTAAAAACATTTCGGTAGGTGTGCCACAGGGTAGCAAATTAGGTCCATTACTATTTATTTTATATATTAACGATATTCCTGATATTTTACAACACAGCAAAATTCAACTATTTGCTGATGATAAATTAATATATATATCAAATAAAGACATTGAAACTTCAATAGAGCTGCTAAATAATGATATGAAAAACGTAATAAATTGGTTAAATGTAAATAAACTTAGACTAAACGCAAACAAAACAAAATATACGCTAATAGGAAAATCTTCAGATCAAAATACGATAAATCTTACAATTAATCATGAAAAAATTGTGTCAATCGAATCATTTAAATATTTGAGCATATACGTAGACAGTAAATTAAAATTTGACGGGCACTATGAATATATTATTCCAAAAATATCCAAGAAAATAAATTACGTTTATAGAATTTCAAATAGCCTAAGCGTTTATACGAAAAAAATTGTGTACAACACTATCATTCTTCCTATACTAAATATACCAGATTAAATTTTATGCTGAAAGAAGTACAATGATTAAATATCAAAAATATCATAGCCTACTTGGTTTTCAATTTCATATTCAAGTTAAAAAAATCATCTTCTACCAAATCACTTAGAAAATTTTATTGTATTGAACAATGAGTGCCACAATTATTCTACTAGAGGAAGCATAGACTTTCATTTACAAAACTGCAGTAGCAATATAACGAGCAAGTCAGTATTTCAAAAGGGATTGTACGAATTTAATAAATTAAGTAATGATATCAAGATGAGTGTCAGTTTGAAAATGTTCAAAGGGAAATTGAAAAAATATCTCATGGAAAACCAGAATTCATAGTAGTGAAATTTTGTATAAAAATATCTAGTCTTGATAATATATTTTGTGATATACTGTGTAATATGGATATTATGGACATTGTAGCATTAATACTAAATAAATCTGAAACAAATAAAAACAAAGAAACCGCAAAAAAAATAAAAAAAAATCCTATAGATATAAAAAACAAAATCCTCGCTTACCCTTTCTGCTGCATTGAAGCGGTATAACTAGGCGGCGGAGGCTGCTGCCCACCCGGACCACCTTCCGTGGCGACCGCAACGACCGCGCCCCCATTCACAACAGTCGCTTGCTGGGGCTGAGCCTGCTGTTGGGGCGCCGCGGGGGCGACGGCAGTCTGCAGCACCGGCTTCTGCACCTGGGTGCTCTTCACCGACTGCATAATGATCGGGGGCTGCGAGACAGTTTGTCGGGCGCCCCACGCTTGCAGGGGGGCGGGTCGGGCCATGGCGCTGCTGCTGCAGGAGGAGGACACTGTCACCGGACTGGGGGAACCGGCAGATGTTGAACCGGAGTAGATGCCTGGAACAAGTGAAATATATTTGTTCGTGATATCGATGAGTTTTCAAAACTAGCATCTGACTGGCTATTCCAATATCCAGCACTGCTATGAGGAGTAGAAGAACCGTCTCCATCACTGTCTGGTTTCAGAAGGAAGTTATTTTGAGGGCGACAATATACTTATGTAATTATATCTATCTCATTACTTATTTTACAGACTTCGTATATTTGTCGACAAATATATCCATACAATCTCACTCACCAGACGACGGACTCTTCCTGAAATCCTGCGTGGGGCTCTGCCTGTTCTGTATCGCGTCCCTGTACGACGGCGGAGGAGGCGGCGTCGGTTGCCCCGCAACGCCCGTCTGCGTCGTCGTAGCCACGCCCACCGGATATGGCGGAGGCGGTTCCTGTCCCACGCCCGACGTGACTCCTCCGCCTGCGCCGCCTCCGTTCACGCCGCTGCCGCCTCCGTTCCGCAGCGCCTGCATCTGCTGCGTGAGTTGCTGTTGGGCGGCGGGCCCGTTCGCGACGACCATCGGTTGGGGCCGGACGCCTACGGAGGTACCCGCGCCGCTGGAGACGCTGCTTACGGGACTCGTGCCCCTTTGCTGTAAACCTGGGAACGCGACGGATGTTATAGGTTGATGAAGTTTAAAAATGGGGATATAATGGGTGATTTTTTTGCTAGTATCTTTTTGGTAACACTGTTTTTGACAGATGACGCGTGAATCGTGTCTTGTGTCATTGTCAAACTTGTTCAGTTTGGTCTATAATTTAACCATGAATCGACTTACGAACCAACAACGCTTGCAAATTATTGAATTTTACTATCAAAATTCATGCTCGGTTAAGAGAGAGCATCGAGCATTGCTTCCAATTTATGGGCAATTTGGTCGGCCTACTGAGCGAGCTATTCGGAAGCTTGTGACTAAATTTCGAACCCAGTTTACATTATTGGACATTAAACCACCAACACGCAAACGTAGAGTGGGGACTGAAGAAAATATTGCGCCTGTATCCGCCAGTGTTAGTGATGACCGTGAAATATCGATTCGCCGCCGTTCGCAGCAATTGGGCCTCTGTTACTCCACTACGTGGAAAATTTTGCGACAGGATTTGGGTGTAAAACCTTGTAAGATACAGCTGGTGCAAGAATTGAAGCCACACGACCTCCCACAACGTTTCCAATTTGGTGAATGGGCGCTGGCAAAGTTGGAGGAGGATCCACATTTTTATCGAAAAATTGTGTTCAGCGACGAAGCTCATTTCTGGTTGATCGGGTACGTTAACAAGCAAAATTGCCGCATCTGGAGTGAAGACCAGCCAGAAGCATTGCAAGAGCTACCAATGCATCCCGAAAAAATCACTGTTTGGTGTGGATTATGGGACGGTGGCCTCATCGGGCCGTACTTCTTCAAAGACGACAATGGCCGGAACGTAACTGTGAATGGCGAGCGCTACCGTGCGATGATAACAAACTTTTTTTGCCCAAAATGGAAGAGCTGGACTTGGCTGACATGTGGTTTCAACAAGACGGTGCCACATGCCACACCGCACACGAAACAATGGCCCTATTGAGAGGCGAGTTCGGTGAACAGTTTATCTCACGTTTGGGGCCCGTCAATTGGCCGCCTAGATCGTGTGATTTAACGCCGTTGGACTATTTCTTGTGGGGCCATGTTAAGGCTAATGTCTACAGGAATAAACCAGCAACCATTGACGCACTGGAAGCCAATATTGAAGCATTTATTCGTGAGATACCGGCCGATATGTTGGAGAGAGCGTGCCAAAATTGGACCTTGCGCATGGGCCATCTAAAGCGGAGCCGCGGCCAACATTTACATGAAATAATCTTTAAACATTAAATTATATCGACCGTTCTATCGACTCAAAGATTTAATCGTTTTTTCTAATTTTTTGTGTTTTTTTTTTTTAAATCAAATCCTATACCTCTTAAAAAATCACCCGTTATAATCTTGTAAAAAAGGGAAGCAGAGTGCAAGGTACGCCTCTGAGCCATATTCAACCATCCCAGTTCAGGTAGTTTGTGGGATACCCTTTGTCTACCCCTTATGCCAAATATCTCAGACAAGAATTCTGAGCTTTTTGAACCCTATCAAGAAATGGGCCATATACCGAATCAGCAAAGTAGAAGTGGGACAACACTAAAAACACTTAAAAAATCACCCGTTAGAAGCAATCAAACGCGAAAGGCTTTCGCGGTCATCATCCAATGTTATTTGGCTGGTTGAGCTACTACTCAGTAGCTCACAAGACTCCAAACTGTGAACATTTCGGAAGATGCCAACCACTAGTGTTGGCGAAGCGTCAAATAAAAATGTTTTACGACGGCCTAACAACCTAAAAACCAACCAAATATACAAGCAATATTTTTGTATTTATCCTCCATGTTAAGAGGAAAAATTAAAAAAATCGTCGTCAGTCATGTTATCCATCATCAGAGAAGACATCACTCATATTAAATAACTTTTAGAGGGAACCTGTAATAAGATGTCAAATTGAAGGGTCTAAAAGCTATAACACACTTTTATATGTCGAGAATAATCTTTTTTTTGTATACCCACATAGACATAAGCCTAAATACCGAGGCAACGGGACAGCTATAAGGAGCTCAAAGACAATTTGTTAATCCGATTTTTGAACTGTTCAAGTAAATAAATTAATTAATTAATTAATAGCGTTTATTGCCTAACAATTAACGAAACCATTTACATCACAGTACAACCAAGAAAAGATAAATCAACCTAACAAAAATAGAAAACATACAAAAAGTAGGTGATTCCATCTAAAAGAAAAAATTGACAAGGAAAAGAAGCAAAAAACTTATTTCCTTCAAGTGAGGAACATATAACATTTTTTTAAGTAACTCCTAGCTACTCCAGGAATGCTGTTCAAACTGTCAGCAACGCAACTTTTGATGTTTCTCTGTAAAATATGTCATTTAAAAAATGTTCGCCTGGAGTCTTGCTCATATTGAAACAATGTAATAGTGCTAATTGTAAAGGCATCAGCCTTACTTTTTGTCTGGATTTCCAAATTTGCATTCAAGTTACAACTACCACCAAGTACCACAAATACTTCGTGCAATTACTGGTTATTACAGTTAGTAGTAGAAAGTTGATCTAATATTTCTTCTCAAATGTGTCTAGGATTGACACTGAACAAAACAGAAACGTAAGTTAACTGTCATATAGGTATAGTAACAACCGAAGCGCCTAACGTTCTTCCTAGCGCGCGGTGTGGACATTTACATGAACTATGCGTTCATTTGCTTGGAGATATCTCAGCATCTAGCTTAGGTATGGTTTCAACCTAAATAATCACTCATTAAGAACCAGCTTAATATTTAACGAACAATACAGTTTTCTTACCTTGCGTCGAGTAAACCACAGCAGCAGGCGACTGGGGTTGCGCGACCACGCCCACCCCCGGCACTGAGCCAGACTGTTGGCCGCCCCTCGCGGGAACGATCGGAGGCGGCGCCGGCGACATCCGTTTGAACATTTGCTGCACGTTGCTAGGGACGACGACCGGGGGCGGGGCTGAAACTGCCGTCACGGCGCCGCCCCCGCCGGCTGTACCGCAATGAGGCGGCGGTGGCGGTGGCGGAGTGTTGCGCGGGGGCGGCGGCGGAGGCGGTTCCGCGAAACTCGGAGAGTACCTGTTGAAGAGAAAATAAATGTATGTAGTTAGGTCTACATTTCTTATTAGTCAGTGGTACGTCCGAACGTTGCCTGATACTTGCTGTCGTCCATGTTTAACAGACGACTTTTAATCTAACTATGAGTATAGTTTATCTTGGCAATAAATAGAAGAATATATTATACAACAAATGAAAAATAACAAAATTTAAAGTTTCTCAAACGTAGTTTGGTAAGTTACCTGCTGATGGTAGAATGTATATCAGTGAGCCTTGGTGAATCGGATCTGGTACTTGCAGCTCCACTGTCTAAGGCTGGACTTCCCCTTGCTGTAGCCGGTAGTTCTCTTTCTACGCTCGCCTTTCTCATCAATTTCGTGTAGCCTGAAGGCCTGTCTCCACTTCCTGGTACCTGAACGTAAGAGCAGTAGATTTTACAAAAACTATTTTAAAACATCTGATTTGATTATAAAAAACTTACATCAACATATCCCATATTGAACAGGTGCCTAAGCTGAGCAACATCATTACTGTTAGATGTAGCGCTACTAAGAGAGGATCCTAGACCACTGGTTGCTGAATAACTGCTAATCGTGCTTGCCGCACTGGATCCTCCCATGCAAGATTCTTTTGCAAATGGCCTCAAAGAGTTCTAGAGAAAAAACGTTATATATTAATATACGGAATCCTTATATCTTAAGGGTTTTGTCAGAGTTCTTGTAAAAATCAGGAAATATTACACACACATCACAGATTTTAGATAACAGGATGGCAAAGACATTATTAATCAGGGGTCATCACTCTTTTACCTTGATTTCTTCCATAGCCTTCTGCATGTATGCTGGTGGCCTGGCAGCTGCCTGAAGGGCCACCTGGGGACCATTGGGTGTCGTCGCTGAGGCATTTCCTCCAGGCCCTGGAGCGACGCCTCCTCCGTGGTGATTCTGCATATCTGCTTCTTCCACTCCTAGCTTCCTACCCTCTCTTCTCCACTTCTCTTCACTTTGTGGTACACCAACGGAGGCACACTGATGCTGTTTGGTTGAATGATGTATACTGCTTCTCCACCTGTCTTCTCCCTTCATTCGATAGAGTGAGATTTTATACAAGGTGACTCAATGAAAATGGAAAAAAATTTTATGAAAACATCTTAAAAAGCATCCAAAATGGATTTCACGGGTATTACAGGTGTATATTTTCAAATGTTTTTGACGTATACAGGGTGTTTCATAACTTAATGGTACAGAAAACAAGATAGCTTTTCATAACAATGTATGGATACAAAATGTATGGATTAGTTGTTATAAATTGTCGATCATATAATACTGAAGCCACATTAAAATTTTCTAAGCTGGAGTACTGTTTGAATGTCTGGAACCCATACTATCAGTGTTACAAGGAAAGACTGGATAAAATACAAAGGAAGTTTTTGAAATATCTAGTGTTTAAAAAGCACCACATAGATCCAGAACAAGAAACTGAGTATAATGATTTATAAAACTTTGTTAAGAATTCTGAGTTGTACACCAATATGCGGCCAATAAATGTTCTGCCAGATGTTGAAAAAGAAATTATTTACGAACAGATTATCGAATTCATTGAGGGAAATAGAATTTTAACCAAATCTCAAGCTGCATTTAGGAAGAAACACTACTGAAACACAATAGGCAATTTATAGTGACAGTGTTTTTGGACTTCAAAAGGGCGTTTGAATTTATTGACAGTGATAAATTACCTAAAAAAGTGCATCACTATGGATTTAAAGGTTCTTTATTCAGAATTCTACACAAAACTAATTATCCAGCTCAACAAATATTTCTCTCAGTGTACCTTAAGGTAATAAATCGGGTACTATTTATTTTATACATTTGTGGTATTTTAGACTATTGTAAAATTCAGATGATACATTAATATACATTTCAGATGAAAATATAGACACTGCTAAATTATGACTTGACAAAAATCATAAATTGGTTAAATGTGAATTACATAAAATTGAATGCTTCTAAAACAAAATGTATGCTAATAGGAAAATACTTGAATGAAAATACTATCACAGTTGGGATAAATGGTAAAATAATTGAAAAAGTTGAATTGATTAAATATTTGGGTATAGTATATTGAGTTAAAGGATCACCATTATTTCAAAAGTTGCAAAAAAATTACTTTTAGAGGGCTGTTCATGGTCTTATAGTCTAATAAACTATATAATGATATAAAGTGTACTAGTAATTTAAAGATAATTAAAGGAAGATTTCCTGGACAGTGAAAGTTAGAGATGCAATTCTTTTTTTTTAGAATTAGTATGTATAGTTTTTAAAAAGAATGTAATTGTAGCAATCATGCTAAATAAATCTTAAATGTACAAAATATTGACAGTGTGGAGCTCAGATGGACACTGTCATCCCTTCCATTCCTTTATAAATTGATGTATGATCTTATTAATCTTAATAATAAGATACTGCAGCATATTTAATTGTGAACTCAAGGAACTAAAGAGTCACAAAATACCTGTGCACAGTTTTTTATTTTATATTGCTCTGTGGAGGGATTCTGCATCTGTGGCAATAAATGCCTATCATTATTATTAACAAGATTGACATAAAATGACATAGGATTTTAGTTGTCAATTATTTTAAATTTCACCATTTGTGTGAAAAAATACCAGTAGAAAAACTAAATTCCTTGTTTTTACATTATCTGAAATGAACACAATATAAGTCTGAATATAAGCACTTTTTTATGAGGGACAAAAATATGTAGACAAATTCTTTTCAACATTAGTTTATTGCAGTTTTGTGTCAAAAGAGGATTAGTTTGTGTTCATCAAGTATTGTGGAATAAGTTTAGTGATTTTACGACCATGGCGTGTGTTCCAGAAATTTCTTTCGATGTGAAAACGAAGATCATTGAGTTATACAAAGATGATCAATGTCAAGTCGACATTGCCAAAAATTTGAAGCTGAAGCGTAAAGCAGTTTGGGCAATATTGAATAAATATAAACAAAAAGGTATCTTGGAAGCCTCTAAGAGAAGTGGTCAGCCTAGAAAACTAAATGCAATGAAGTAATTTCGTCCAAGGATCCGTTTAAAACCTCAAGACAAATAAAAGCCGAAATCGAGACAAAAGGAATTGGCAGTGATTCTACGAAAACTATAAGTAGAAGATTAAATGATTTGACGTTTGACCACAAGCACACTTTGCTCACTCAAACATGGAGGCGGGTCTGTTATGGTTTGGGGGTGCTTTTCAGGATTTGGGATAGGACCTTTACATAGAATAAATGGCATTATGAATAAGTTTGTATACACAGACATACTAAAGCAAGTCATGTTACCCTATATGGAAGACAATATGCCCTTAAGATCAATCTTCCAACAAGATAATGACCCGAAGCACACTTCAAATCTCGCAAAGAAATTCTTTCTGGATGAAAAAATACCAGTTCTCAAATGGCCTTCACAGTCTCCCGATATAAACCCCATTGAAAATCTATGAAAATACTTAGATAAGCAAATACGAAAAGTGGAGACAGATTGATGAATCTTATATCAAGAAACTTCTACAATCTATGTCGAGACAATGCCAGGCGGTGATTGATAATAATGGTTATGCTACAAAATATTAATACAAACTTGATTGATTTTCTATAATTCAATGAACTTTGCTTCTTTTTTCTATAATTGTTTTGCTTTGTCTATATATTTTTTCCCTTCATAGTTCCAGTTTTTTTCAATTAATTTTTTATTGAAGGGAGTCTAATGAATTTATTTATGTATAAGTGAGTATTATGCTATGACGAATTATGTATACAGGCTGGTGTATTAATAAAACAAGTTAATAAAGAAATACAGCACAATATTAATTTGTCTATATACTTTTGTCCATTACTGTACGTGGATCTATCTTCAATAATTTATCTTCTAAATTAAAAGCCATAAATGACTTGAAAGTCTTCAAAAACATCTTTTAACATACTTGTACCCTGAGTGTTATACATTTTATATAATCACATATTTATTCTATTTTATTGATATTTTACTTATACATTTATGCTGAATTCTTTTTCTATTCTTCTATTTAACTATTTATACATTTAAGCAAGCAAACTATTATTGCTCCTTATTTTATAACTTATTATCCTTGTTATTCTAATTTAGTCATGTGAATATTTTTCATTTTTATGTAAATCTGACCTTTGCCTGAAAGCAAAGCATCTTGAATAAAAGTTGTTTATTAAAACTCTCGGATGTCAATTTTTTATTGTTATAGATATTTGTCTGGAAAATACCCCCCATTACCTCAGGTCTGATAAGTGTTGCTGAAGTTGAGGAAATCTGTAGTCCCTGTGGTAGACCGATCGAAGCGCACTGATGCTGGTTGGCTGATTGATGTTGTATGGTGCGTGCCCAGCGTGGCTGGTAGCCCATGCTGGGCGGCACGCGCCCGCCTCAATTCCAATGCCGTCAGGCTCAATAACCTGCTTGCACCTGCCATTTCGGCTCATTGTGTTGTGATGCTTCAACCACCATGCACGCAAGTATAGACATGCTTTCAGAAGGCTTAAATCAGCGGAAGTCTACCATTCAAGTTGTTTCTTCTATCTGAAATAGTAATAATAATAATGTATATTTCAAATTGTACAATGACATTTCAGAAATGGTATAGCCACTACAAAATGAAATGTTGCACCACTATCACTGTAACTATAGAAGTTTACCTAAGACCTGTTTGTTTCTTGTTACATGGTTATATATCTTAAAACAGCTGGAATCTGAAATTATTACAACTCACATAGTACTCATCTATGGTATAAGGCTCTGATTGTACTAGAAATTGCTTAATGGTCTTTTTAAGTTTATACATTATAACTGTTTGTTTTCAATTTCATGTGGTAGATAATTGAAAAATTTTAAACACACGTAGATAGGGCCTTTTTATGTGGAGGATAATCTAGGTATTGGATAATTAATGTTGACTGTTCGAGTATCATAAACAGTTTGCACCTCAAGCTCAAATAAACATTTATTTTTGAAAAAAAAAACATAAGACACTCATACACATAAATGGCATACATAATCATGATTTTTTCAGTTTTAAACACTCCCCTGCAAGTTTCATTGAAATTTAGTCCCTTTATCAGACATACTGCTCTTTATTGAACAAAAATTTTTTGAATAAACCTATTGTTCCCCCAAAATTGATCCCATACTTTTCCATCCATATTGTCATACTCAAATTATTTAGATATATTGATGTTACTCTAAAACTATAGCAAATGCAATTAAACCTCTTCAGAAGTTCGAATACATGTGTTGCCCAATCTAAAAATTCATCAACATAGATGCCTAAGAATTTTACACTTTCACTCAACTGCAGTTGATCATCTATATCAGGGCTGTCCAACATATTGGCCCATGAACTCCTTTCTTGCGGCCCGCCTCACGGGTCATGTATACATCACATGTATAAATTACTCTCAAATATAGTATAGTATATACCTATGGAAACTCAGTAATAATGTTGTATAGAAAGATTTTATAATGCGGCACTCTAAACTGCATTTTTTTTTAAGTGGCCCTTGGGCCACATTAAGTTGGACAGCCCTGATCTATATTGATACATTGTGGCTTAACTCTACTTAGTTCTAAATAATGTTGCATCATTTTTGGATTTATTCAGCACTAGTTTGTTCTTAAAAAAACTATGTATTCACACTTCTGAATAAGACATTCCCATTAGCAGTTAGGTCCTCTACACTTGTCTCACCAAACACTAAATTTGTGTCATCAGCACAGAAGATAATTTTATGGTTGTTATCATCACCACTAGCAACAAAAAAGAGATTACTTAAAAAAACTACAAACAAAATGGACCCAAGTATACTACCCTATGCTATGCTGGTTGAAGTCAACTCAATGTTTGACTTGCAAGTTTGACCTCCTTCAACAATTTCAACCTTCTGTTGTCTATTATAGAGGTATAATAATAGTATAAACAGTACTAAGCAATTTGCAGGAATGCTTCAAAGGTGGCTAATAGAAATGTATAATTCCTAATTTTTTAGATATTTTGTTGGCTTTAGAATATCAACAGAATACTTGATACAATTGTTATATCAAAAAAAAGGTTTCAACTCAACCCATCTGACCAATATTGAAACAATGCATATTATGAAATTTACCGACATTTCAGCTGCTGCAGCAGAAATAGAGGGAAGCAAGATTGATCAAATAAATACAGAAAATAATTTCAGTATTGACTTGGAAGTAACATTATGATACTTGATTATAAGCTCTTATAAACACATATCTGTAGTCTTATTAGATTTGGAGAATAAGTTTATTTTAATTTAAATTCCTGCTAAAATAGCCACAAAGGTTGATAAAATATTTTGAATTGATGTTTAGGCTGACTAATTTCTTTCTTAATGGATACTTCAAATTATTAAGCACAGATGGATGGAAAATTAGATATAAATGCACCCTTTAATCATTCTTCAATATTTTTTCTACATTCTAGTGATACATCTTATCATTACATTCTTCTATTTCCCCCTGTATATAAATTCTAAATAGATTTATCTGAAATATATGGAATGCCACAGATATCATTACAGCTATTTCTTTGTGGTATTTTGGCCTACACCAAATCGTCAGCACGAAGGAATTTACCTCTGGTTTTTGATTCAAGCAACATTAGTTATGTGCCAAATTGAACTGACATGTCTCATGCATACCAAATGTGCTCCTCTTACAATGCATGACTTTGGCTTCTATCAGATGTAAAATATCGATGGATTTCGTTTATATGTGGACGCCTGAAACGCTTATTTGCAGTTATTACCTTCCAAATATGCAAAATTCGTTTATAATCTGCTTATAACCAGGAGTGACAGTCTCCAGTGTCAATCTATCTCATTCTATATGGTGGATTTTAATAACACTTTCCGCAACTTCTACAGCGATTCAGAGCACTGGCACTGCATCTTTCACTTTTATTCTATTCACTGCGATGAAATGATTCACGTGAAATGGATATTTTGGTTATACAGGTCCTAAATGTAAGAAAAATCCTAATGAAAACAAAGAAAATTCTCTAGATTTGGGATTCAATTATCAGCCATTTTACACAGTGTCAAATTCCAGAATCTGCCAACCTAACGGCACTAAGTTCTAAAATGCATTTTCGTGAAACAGGTATAATTTTCATAATTAGCCGTAGAGAATTAAAGCGAATGTTAAATTTTGAAAAAAAGTCTTCATAGACTTGAGAATGGCTCTGGAAAAAACTTGAATATTAAGAAATTTGATCTATAAATTTTGGTGTTTTTTCCCGTGCTTTGTTGGTAACACACCCGCATTCCACACTATTTTCTGGCAGGTTACAGACAACATTTAAAAGCAGTGGCGTGGTACGTTGTGACATAGAAAGGGTGGATTGCCGAATATTACACCTCCGTCGAGATGCATATGGTATACAGAGAAATCCATAAACCACTGATGTCGTAATGTGTACGAGAGAGATGCCCTAGAATGCAATACGTATCAAGTATCACGTTGCCTAGCAACCCGAGTGACGAGGCCACGGACACAGCTGCGGCTTGCCGTGTTGCCATCGGCGCTCGCTTTCTAACATACGTATTGCACGTTTCTCTCTCGTAAACATTACGACGTCAGTGGCATACGGTGAGATTCAAATAAAGCTGACGTCGTAATGTGTACGAGAGAGAAGCGCGATAAGCGTGCGACATGTTAGAAAGAGTACGCCGATGGTATCCGTGACCTCGTACTCAGGTTGCTGGACGACGAGCTGCTTCTGTTTCTCTCTAACATACGTATTATACGCTTCTTTCTCGTACACATTACGACATCTGTGGTACTTGGATTTCAGTGCATGGATCTCAATGTATATAACCTCTATTAAATCCGCTTTTTGATATACTCGTATTGTCGAAATCACGAAAGATGACGACTACGTCATCATTTTAGTCTGTAGTAAAGACAAACGACAGGGATTTGTGAATATTTTTAGATAGAGACAAACAGAAGTTTATTGTCTAAACAAACTGCATTGCTAATTTGCATGTATCCGACAAAGATAGACGATGTTTTCATGTTGCATGATCGGTCATATTTGAAAGATGAATAGTTAGGTTATGTTAAAGCAGGTTAGGTTGTTTTCGAATAATACTTTGGTCTTTGGTGTTCCTGTCTTAAGGTATTCTACTCAGAACTGTTTTTTTTTCAAAACAAAAACTCCCCACTAAAATTACTATTAAGGTACCACTCAAAACCATGAAATAAAATGAAAATAAAAATAATCAGTGCAATAACCTAACTTCGCAAAATCACAATATAAATTTGTTGTCATTATGTTCCTGACATCGTGATTTTATAATCGACGTACGTCCATTGATTACTTCAGAGCAAAATATGGTATAACGTAATAGTCATTTTTCGTGATTTTGACTATATTCCGAGAACTAAAGGAGGGAAGATGGAAGACAGCAACACTTTTGCTCTTATAATAAGAATCATATATCTACCGTACGATCATCAATGCAGTGACGTACGTCAAGCTTGACAGTGGATATGTTTTGTGTTTGACACTTGACAAATATGATCGATGTAACTATCAGAAATTTGAACTCTAGGGAGAAGGAAAAATGATACTTTATTACTGATTTTAACCAACACGTGCTTCTCATTTTTATTGATATAAATATATGAAGTTATCTCAATGCAGTTACTATGAAATAGACAGTACAATGGGAAAAGTACTGTCATCAATTAGGCATCCGTTCAGGAACTTCAACCTGGAGAGTAGAGCTCATAAAGTCATATCTCAAGAGAAACCCAAACCGGCCCCCTGGCGCCACACAGACCAAATAGAAATAGAACGATTAATGAAAGGTTCGTACTAATATTAAGAATTTAAATCCTTAATAATTCTTTTTCTTCCACTAGAACACACAAAAGAATATGAAGAGAGCCTGCAGAAACATGAAGAATTGGATAAGCACTTGAAGCAGGTGTACGTTACATCTACAAACGTAATATAAACATACTATTATATACTGAAAAAAATTTCAAACACTGCCTTTTTTAAAAATGTAGCCAGACGAAATCCCAAATAAGAAGAATGAGAACCCAGATCGACCTCTTCCAACTGACCGGACTACAGTTCAGCCATTTTTGTATGGTATGAAAGAGCCTGAACGTATCCCTGCTGGAAAATCATCATTGAAGGGCATCCTTGAGCTCATCAGCTTACATCAAAATGATCCTAAAATCTACAATGCTAAAAAGATTGCCGAGGATACAATGATTCCAGAAAACACCATCAGTAAGTCCTATCATCATACACTCAGGTTATGCTTGATAAAAAATTACTCCTTCAAACCTGCCAAATCTATTACTATTTTTTTTTTGTCTGTAAGATATCAAGTCTTCTAAATGTTAAATCTCACTTTTCAGCACTTATTTATCTGTTGCTAGCCATTAGCTTCAAAGACAACCACACAGTACAGTCATTTATTTTTAAATTAAATTACAGATTAGTTTTTACGAGATAGTCAAAGACAAAATTTTGTAAGTATTTATCTTAGACATAGTAAGTATTTATGTTGATCATTTTCAGCTTTTTTTGGTTTTTCAAGTTAGTCATATTAAAGGGGATCAAACTTTTTGTTCATTTTTGACTTTCCACATTTATTATTTCATGTTGTTGATTTTTTTTTTGTAGCATTCAGAAGGCAAATGTAAGTTTTGAGACTATTAATTGATTGACCATGTTGAACCTCTTACAAGTGTTGCTTTGGGAGCTAAAAATTTAAAATCTTGTTTTTTGTCTAATATGGTAACTTGTACTTGGATTTATTTTTAGAAATAGGAAACCTGCATGTAACACTATGATAACTTTTGATTGTACAGTGGACCTCCTGTAATCCGAAAAATATTATGCAGGGCAGTGTGGGACTATCAAATTTGTCGGATTATAGAGCACTGCCTAAGATCCCCTATAGTCTGGAATTTTTAACAAAAGAGTACCTTGTAATCTGACAAATTACATATCCAATGCTAAGATTATATACGTAGTCGTGCCATAAGTTCTGTCTCATGATAATCTCATGATAAAAATGAAACAAGATAAGATATATTTATATGAAAGATATTATTTATTCGACAACATTTTTAGAATTCATAATCAAACAGTTTTATTCAAAATGTCCCCCCTTGGCCTTCACACACTGCTTCAATCTCGCGGGCCACTCATCTATCACTGCACGCACAGCTTCCAAAGGAATAGCTGCCGCTGATCGGATCAAATCCGCTTTCAGGGACTCGATATTACGGTGGGCTTTGGAGCAGGCCAACTGCTCTAGCAGGTCCCACAACTTGTAGTCTAAAGGATTGAGGTCCGGACTCCCTGAGGGCCAATCTTCCGCAGCAATGAACTCTGGCACATTGCTTTCCAGCCAGCGCTGCGTACTCTTAGCCTTGTGAGCGGGGGCGGAATCCTGCTGGTAGACCCAGTGTTGGTTGGCAAACAATGTACCACTTAAAGGCTTGACGATAGGATCCAGTATGTCGCTCTGATAGTTTGCCGCTTTTGTTTTCACGCCCTGTTTACAGAAATGGAGCTGAGTGACCCCTTCGTAGGACACCCCCCACCAAACCATGACTGACGCAGGGTGGTGGCCTCTCTCAACTCTCGGAATGATCTCCGAAGCTTCCTGTGAACTCCTTGCATACACTTTGTCATTTTGTCGGTTGAATTTTTCTTCTATGGTGAAGATTTTCTCATCCGTGAACAAAATCTTTCGGAATCCCCCAGCTGCGTACCTCTCCAAGAGCTTCTTGGATCTTGTCGCCCTGATGTGTCGCAAGGTGGCCGTAAGTCGCTGGCCCGTACGTCTCCGGTAAGCCCCTAGCCCTAGGTCTTGTTTAATGATGCGCGACATCGTCCGGACAGGAATCTTCATTTCCCTGGATAGGATCTTCTGCTTCCGGAGTGGATTCCTTTGAATCCTGGCTTTTACGGCTTTGATGGCTGCTGGAGTCCTTACTTGACGAGGTCTTCCGCTTCTTGGCCTGTCATCAACAGAGGACGTCTCATTGTACCGCTGAATGGTCCTAGACACAAATTTACGCGATATTTGAAGGCCGCGTAAGAGTTCAAAAATCTGACTAGCACTGTGATTACACTTATGTAAAGCTATCACTGCAATACGGTTCTCTGCCTTGCCCCACTCCATCGTTATGCTTCGAGAGATCAATACAAACTGAGGTATATGTAATTACCCGAAAAGCGCTTAATCAACTGACACCACAATGTAAACAATCGGACAAGTATTAACAGGTCTACACTTGTTTGAAAACGAGGGACAGAACTTATGGCATGACTACGTATGTTATGTATATGAATGTACTTTGAAGTACAAATCTTACATAGTTTATGTATGTCGAATTTAGTAAATATTAAATAACAATAGAGAGCTTAGTTTTATTATAAAATTAAGCATAAATGCACATACATATGTACCAAAATAATCAAGAATTATTAATCAAAATCATTAATGAATTTATCAAATTATGATGCTTGGAAATATTCATCAATTTTTTTTTTTTTGTTTAAGGTTGTTATAACGCGAGATCAGAGCTTTGTCCCTCAGTCTTCTCAAAAGTAAAAGTTCGTTGTAGGATGTACCATTCTCTTCAGCCTATTGTAAACCTAGCTCAAAGGCGTTAATTGCGTCTTGTGCTGTGACTTGTGGAGCAGTTGCAATCACGTCGTCGTTATTTTCCTGATTGTTTGTTATATAATTAGAAACCTCTTTTATAATCTCTTCATCAGACATTTCATGAAAAACATTTTCCTCTTTATCCATTCCACAGCACCAGATTTCCAAATCTTCTGGACTTTCATATTAAATTCTTTTAAAGTTTTTTCTATTGGTTGGTCTTTTGATACGGCTCTCAGAAGTCGGTTTTTCTTATAGTCTTGCTTGACAAACTGAATGATATTCTGGTCCATTGGTTGAATGAGTGCAGTGCAATTTGGCGGAAGAAATATCGCAGTGATGCATTTCTCCTCAGTTGTTAGTTCTTCTTCAGACGGATGACCGGGAGCGTTATCAAGAAGCAACAACGCTTTTTGAGGAAAATTATGATCTTTTAACCATATTCTAACTTCAGGTACGAAGCATTCATCAAACCTCTTTTTGAAAAGGTCTTTTGTCATCCATGCACTTTTTTGTATGTAATAGTGTACAGGTAAATCAATGTTTTTGAATGCCCGTGGTTTATTAGATTTCCTAATGACCATCATCTTAAGCGCGTGTGTGCCCGCAGCGTTAGCACATGGTAGTATGGTTACACGCTCTTTACTTACTTTTCGTCCAGGTACGGATTTTTCGTTACAAGAAACGAAAGTTTTGTTATTCATCACACGCCAAAAAAGCCCCGATTCATCTTCATTGTACACCTGTGACGGGTCAAGATTTAAATCGTTCACCTTTTGCAAAAATCTTAATTTGAAGGGCTCTATGCAGGTGGCATCGTTTCTCTCCTGTAATACTCATTAAACATATGCCATGACGACTTTTAAAACGTTCTAGCCATCCTTTGCTGGCCACAAAATCATATTTTTTTGTTATTTCCTTATAAAAAAACTTAGCTCTCATGGCCAACATGGGTCCTGAAATTGGTGAATGCCTATTTCTTTCCTGAAGAAACTTCTTCCACTTCTGGATGTTCTGCTTTCTTGAGTGTCTGTCTCTTGCCTGGCCCGCAATCAGTAGTCGACACGATATTTTGATCTTCTTGTGCTTTCTTTTAATGTCATAAATTGTAGATCGGCCTAGGCCGTATTCACTTGCTAAACTACTGAAAGTTTCATTGCGATTTAAGCGGTCTTTTTGTCAATGTTTTGTGCTTTCGCTTCTGATGACATTACTAGGTACTATACTTAATACACAATGAATAAATAGTAAACAATGAACGCACGCTAGGCCGTACCGCTATCACCAGTAGTCAAATTCAAACTAAGTAAAACAATGCTTACGCGTCGAGCACGATAGCGGTGGCGCGTTGTAACCTGTTCAAACCTGCGTGATCTACATTAGCGAAGATTGTCAAATACGTATGTATGTAATACATATTCAAATACATGTCGGATTACAGGGGGCGCCAGATTAGACAGGGGCCGGATTATCGGGGATCCACTGAATATCCAATACAGTTAATTTCTGTAGTATAAGCCCCCTTTTCATGCAATTTTCGGAACAGGAACAGACATCCCAAAACACAAAAAATTGAATACTGTATACTGAATACTTGAAGTGCAAATAACCTTGTTTCAGAGAATATATTGAAATACTACAGAGTGTTTGAAGTCTACATCCCACAAGAGAGACAAGTAAAAGCAAAATTTGCTGGTCCTAGCCTTCCTAGAGTTGAGATAATTAAACAAATAAGAAAAGAGCTGCCTGCACCTAGTAGTAAACGGCTACCTCCACCTAGTCCTAGTGATAAAGACAAAACCTGATTCTGTTAAGTTTTATTTGTTGCAATATAGTATTGATATAGTTAACAATTGTTTGTTTTCAAACCTGAGACATCCATTTGAAAGCATAGGTGAATTGGGATTTTAGTTCGGCGAAAAGTACGACTGAATTCATGGTACCAAATTATCTTCACTTTCATTTAAGAACTGGAATGGAAAAAAAATGGGATTTTTTATTTGCTTTGCCTATATTTTGAGGTTTCCTTTGAGCAAATTTTCAAAAACTATGAAAATGCAATTTATACAAAAAACTCTCGGTAAATCAGGTGTGTAGATTTTGAACATGATATATCCACATGTGGTTCAGAGATTTCTTCCTCAAGCAATATATTTTCCACATCAAATTCGCTCCCACGCCACTTCACGATCTTTTTACGTACGCCTGGTAAATAGGTCACTGTTGACATAGTACCAACACGTACTACTCAACGAGTCATCTACCGGCAACTCGTACACCGAAAATAAAATTTGTCTGACAGCTTGTGTTCAATGTGTACGAGAAAGAAGTGTATAGAGACATATGTTAGTAATGAGATAGAAGCCGGCTGGATAGCGAAGCTCATCGCCACGTTGCTTAACGTCACTCCTATCAGTTGGAAAAAGCAATGTAAATATATTCAACAACTATTTCATCTAAAATTATATGATCTTCAATAGGAGACTATGATTTTCATTTTCTCTATTTATTAGTGGAATATGGTTTTTTAGTGACCGTTATTGCTATTAATTAGTGAACGTAATTAGGTAACTAGTCAAATACATTAATTGAAGGGCCGGCCGGAACAACGTTGTATGTAACAAAACAACTCAGTGGCCGAAATTAAGAAAAACAAATTTGAACCATTTTTTCAAATGACTGCGTCTATAGTTGGCCAGCACAATAAAGGAACAATATTTATACAAGGTTATGATAATTTAAAAATGTGATACCTATTTTGCAGCTATGGGAACCATTTTTATGGAAAACGCATGTAACAAGGTTGTATGATCGCGTTACTTACAACGTTGTTACAGGGAGGCTTTAAATGACTACAAGCAAAACAAGTATTTTCAGCAGTTCTATTTATTAAAGGAACCAAAGTACACAGTAACATATTTTTAATAACAAAAAAACACGTTCAAGTTCATCAACGTGTTTCAAAACCAGAACTGAAACTTAAATAAATATTACTGGGTTGCAGTTAATTTTTCATAAAATGTTACATACTTAAGCGGAATATAATCACTCATATCCTCAAGGTTTTTTAATTTTTCATCTTTGATTGGAAGAAGGTTCTGATACATTATAGCTAATTTTTCAGCTGATATGATTTCAGTGGCAAAAGTCATTGTTTCTTGTCTTTTACGATTCCTTATGGGAAATGAATTCCTGTGCTGCATAATATTTTGAGATTTTCTCATTCTCAAAGTAGCTGGAGAATCAGCGGTAAGTTGCAGCCACAATCCTTGTGTAATTTTACATTTGGGGTATTTCCATATACAACATTCCAAACCTGTTAAATTCTCAAAGAAGGATTGGTGCATCCAGACAACTTTAAAAGGATTTTTAACTTTGGCTTTAGCAATGACATTGACCCACTGGAATGGTTCATAAACCATAGATATTCTTTTTTGCTTACGTACATACAACGTTGTTACGCGGAAGACTGAAATGGCTCGCTTTACAAACACGCGTCACAGCGATTGATGCGAGTAAACTGGTGGGTCTATGTTGTCAACGGGTCCCAATAGGCACATACTACGTTGTTTTACGGAAATCTCATTTTATATAAAAATGTTATATACAACGTTGTTCCTGCCGACCCTTCAATTGATTGGCAAGTCGGTCACGATGAAATTAGCTAATCACGATGTCAGTCAGTATTATCAACAGGATAGACCAGAATTCGAGCGGACTTACCGACAGTAACACTAAAACCTCGTATTATTGAGAGTGTTTTGCGGTCGGAGCTGAGTAACGCAAACCGTTAATAAGACGAATATCAATTTATTAAGTGATAGCGATTTGTGAAAAAAAATGTAAGGTAACTTACCTCTTTACTATCTTAGGCGGTATGATAGTCATTATTTAAATGGGTGATAGAGGGGGTTAAGAAGCAAAAAGTTTCATATAACATGGGGGTCAAAACGGCATTTTTTTAGAGAAAAGCGACTTGAAGTAAAATAAAATCTGACAACGCCGCAATGCCAGACGCAAATTACGACGGAACGCAGTGTAAATAAAGATGGAGTTTTTTATTTTTGGCTCTTAGGTATTATTTCATTATTTGATAATGTACTCGTAAAATGCAAACAATTAAAAAAACGGACTTACCACTAACTGTCTCAGTGCTTCACCTGGTGTGTGAAAGTTTATTGAACGTATTAAAAAAATCCACTTACAAATAGGGAACGCAATTTTGATACAGAACTTGTTTTTCGTTTTAAAACCCACACTGCACATTTTTTTGTATTTAAAGAAGGTGTTCAAAATGTCGTCCTCCACTTTCCACACAAGCTTAATTACGACGAACCCAGTTTCTTCTTACGCTAGGTCCTCGAAGTTGTCCATTTATTATTTCAGCCGCATTCATTTTTTTTTCGCTAAGTTGTGCTTCAGTTGTTATTGGACCAGCGCCATAAACCATCCCTTTAAGTTCTCCCCAATACCAGAAATCCATCGGAGATCTTGCTGGCCATTTTCGAGGATCAGGATCAGGAGCATTTCGACCGATCCAGCGATTTGGAAATTGTTCATTCAAATACTGAACGACGCATCTAAAAATGTGTGGTGGTACCCCGTCATGAAGAAACCACAAATTCTGTCTCCGTTGTAATGGCATGTTGTCTAAGGTTTGTTCCAAAAGTTCTGGTAGGTTATTGGCTAGAAAGCTAAGGTATCCTTCTCCTGACAACTTTGGGGATAACTCGAAAGGGCCAATTACCTGATCGTTAAGAATACCCGCCCAAATATTTATTTTAAAACGTTGTTGGAAATAACCTTCACGAATGGTATGAGGATTTTCTTGAGCCCACGTGTGAGTATTATGTAAATTTAATATCTCGTCTCGCGTAAAAGTACATTCGTCCGTCGCTAGAATGTTTTTAAAAAAATCCGGATTTTCAATATTTTTGTGCAAATACCACTGACAGAATGTTAGTCTGCGAGGATAGTCTTCCGGTAAGGCCTGCACTCGTTGTACATGGTAGGAATAAAGCAAATTTTCCCGTAGGATTCTATAGACTATGGTATGCGATAGTCCTACGCGACGGCCTAATTCCCTATTCAATAATGTCTACCTTAATGTTTACACCCTTTATATTTAATATTTGAAAACTGATAAGAACAATCGTCAAGAGTGGAGAGTTAATTACACAGAGTTACTCTCAGAAGCATAAAGAAAGAACCCATTTCTCTTGTAAAGTATTTATTTTTACAAAATATAAAACAAAAATGATTCCTATTTTATATGTTCCTATAAAATTAAAAAATCATACAAGATAATGCGATACATAATAAATACACCTTAACAAAGCTCCCTTAACGAAAATTAAAGGGTATACTACACGAGATTGAAAACTTGCATCCAAAAGTCAAATGTGCTTTGACCACCCATTGGATCAAATATACAACTAAAAACCTCATAGCAATATAAAAACACTCTCAGCTTAAACCTATTATGTATTATGTTTACTGATAATTGAAAGTGGGATAATTGTACATATGGTATTATTCCAATAAAATAATTGCAAATGTGGATGATATATTTACATAGCCAGTGAATACAAAACGTTGGCAAATCACAAAGTGAATTCAAAAATTATTTTTGGCACAAGTTTTCAATGTAGTCTGGTATGTAAGGGAAGAGAGAACAGTTTATTTAGTTTACAGACCTTTGCTGTAAACAATTGAAGCAAAGCTGAATGGTCTCTACTTCCAAAATCAAATTATCTCAAACCTAGTGATTTTTTATGAGATGGAAGGTGGAGATCATTTTCAAAATTACAATATGAGATGCATATTAGATAACCTTTGAATTACTTCTCGTTTGTACCCCTATGTATTATTGAGGTTTTTCAGTTATCGTGCCTACAAGTCTGACACATCTGAGACCAGTTTGCAAAGTCTTGTTATCATTTAGACATGCCTCAAAACAATCGAGTTTCCAAGATCATGAAACTGATTTTTAGTAGCACGCCATATTGAATGTAAGTCAATTTGTTCAGGTGCTAAAATGAAAGTCATCTCCATTTTGTTACGAGTCTCTTGTAAGTATAGCGATGTTGCTTTAAGCAACTTTCATCTTTTATCGTGTCGAAGTTCAAACCTTCTATACTATAATCCACTTCCACATTGGGACAAAAATGTCCATTTAGTCTAATCATATTATACGAAAATACCCCTGGTTTGCGAAATAATTGTTAGGTCTGGTTTTATTGCTGCAAAGTTGGTATAGTAATTCTTGCGGGAAAACCTTTTATTCGACAATGAAGAATGAAAAAACTTTTCATATATAATTTTTAGGTATTTATGAGACCACACGTAAAAAGATCCGACTAATAGCAAAAAAGTTATGGCCGAAACCGACGCAAACTGCAGGTTTTGGCACTTGTTGGTAATGCAACGAGGGTTTCTCGTAGATATTTGAAATTCTTCAAATTTGTAGGATTCGTGCTTCTAAATAACCACAACAAAATTGGAGTAGATTGGTCAAGTAGTTTTTGAGAATTTCTAATTGTTTACACCAAAACACGGTTTCGGGCCATCACTACTAGTTTATTGAGCAATATACAGGGCTAGTTCAAAGGGCATTTTATAGTAAAATACATTAGTTTACCTTGCCGATACGAATCGCAAACCGTTCTGGAAGATAAATGTTGTTTTTATGCAAAAAAGGATGGGTTACGTTTTTTCGTCTAAACAAATTCAATCACTTCGTATTTGTGAGTAATTTGCAACAAAAGATGATAGACACATCCGCTTTGTTTTAAAATGTGTATAGTAATGTATGTTTTTCGAATATCATAGCGCATTTGTTCAATTTCTCACAAAGACGGAATTTTTGATTTTGTTTAGAAGAAAAAAACGTAACCTTTTTTTTCGCATAAAAGTAACATTTATCTTTCGGAATGGTTTGTGATTTATATCGGCAAGGTAAACTAGTGTATTTTGCTATTAAATGCTCTTTGAACGAATCCTCTATATTACTCAATAAACTAGTAGTGATGGCCGGAAAACAGGTGTTTTGGGATAAACTACTCCAATTTTATGGTTCTTATTTAGAAGGATGGATTTGAAGAATTTCAAGTAGTTGCGTGACATTATCGTCGCATTACCAACAAATGCCAAAACCTGCATTTTGCCTCGTTTTTCGGCCATAACATTTTTGCTATTAGTCGGATCTTTTTACGTGTGGTATCATTTTGTAGGTCTCATAAATACCTAAAAATCTTATATGAAAAGTTTTTTCATTCCTGTCAACAGTTTCGATTGAATCCCAAAAAACACGTCTCATTTTTTGTTTTCAAATTAAAAGTTTTCCCACAAAAATTTGTTTATCCATTTTATGCGTCCATGTTTCAAATACCCCCTTGAACATCTTGCACCAATAAAACCGAACTTCACAAGTATTTCGGAGAAATTTGCCAATATGATTAGACCAATTTGCTTCTTTGCTATAGCATTAAAGTTATCACAGTTTATGGTCTGGTACCACTTAGAACCTGTCAGAAGTGTACTTATTCCATTAGAATCAGCCAGGATATTTATTAAGTTTATCAAAATGTACATACATATATGCTAGCAATACTAAAGAGTAAAGTTATTGGATATTCTCGACTGACGCCTATTGAAAAATAACATGAAATAGCTTACACATTGTACCAGACCCTATAGGTAATGTCCACGTGACGTCACATGCTTCGGATGTGGGTGAAACATAACCTTATATTCCATGCGCTTTGGAGGTGTTTCGTGTTTCAAACTTGTTATTGACATCTTTTGTGCTTGTTCTCAACGAACTTTCATATGTATAGACTCGAATTACTGTATTCACAACACGAAAAAAAAAATCTTTGAATCGGCAACTTTTCACTATACAGAGAATAAATACTGCAAATGTCCACAATTAGTGATTTTTATCTAAAAACTCGAAAATATTTTTCGCCAACTCAAACTCATAGGTTATGCATACCTCACATCCATCAAGGGTGGACATGGCTTATAGCATGAATTCAAAATCCATTTTCAATATAGCGTGCTATTGACACACCAAGACGACATTTGGAGATACAAAGGTCCATAAGACCTTCCCTGGACAAGTTGTGCTAGGAATCTATTTATCACATCAACACTTTTCGTCGCACCTCAAAAATGTATCAGTGTGCTCTGATACTGCAATCATAGATACAATATAGTGCCCAATGGTACTAATTGCAAGTTTTGTGAAGTCCCAATGTATCTTTAAGGAGCTGATTACGCAGCGTCCACAGTGCTGCAACAACATTATCGTGTTGATCCCTTTTGTTGCCCAGCCATGTAGCAACTTGGTGTAGCTTTTCTGGATCTGGCGCCGGGGTGTTCTCTTGAGTCGCTTGAAGTTGTCGCTCCCAATTACTTATGTGTTTCGATTCTGCCTGCAGCCCCTCTATGTACCTGTAGGTCAAAGAAAAGGTATTTCTCTAATTTTTATTGAAATCCACGATATTAAAATAGTATCAGCCGCAACCACACTGGATTTCAAAGCTTATCAATGCGTCACCTTTATAATATTTGTCACTTGTTACAGTCAAAAAGTTTCATTAAGCGAAAAAATTTCATCACTTGAGCTTATAAAATCTGGCGTACCACAAGGTCCTGTCTTAGAGACACTACTATTCACCTTATACCTCAAAGTTGACCAAAGATGTTAAAAATTGTAAAATGACGACCTACGCCGATGATACCCAAAAGTACGAGGATGGTCCCAGAAGTACCCGGCCTGACCTAGAGATGGCGATAGTTGTTTGAAAAATATCATTGCACTAGAAAGCATGCAACCTATAAAGCATATGTTGTGTCAAGTTTGAAGACGCCACGTTGTTTGGTACTTGTTTGGCAGCCATCAATACTGAACGTTTTCAGTGAATTTGTGAAAATGGAGAGAATTGGTCATCGTTATGTGGTACAATACTTTTATTTCAAAGACCCAACCAATATAAAAGCAGAACTGGATTCTACTCTGGGTGAGTCTGCTCCTTCGTTTACAACAGTAAAATATTGGGTAGCAGAGTTTAAACGAGGCCGTATGAGCTGCCAAGACGAGCATCGCAGCGGTCGACCAAATGAGGTGACGACTCCAGAAATGGCGAAGAAAATTCACAAAGCGGTACTGAATGATCGTCGACTGAAAGTGCGCGAGCTAGCAGACATAGTAGGCATTTCAACAAGTGCGGTTCATCGCATATTATCTGAAAATTTGGACATGAGAAGGCTGTGTGCAAGATGAGTGCCGCGATTGCTCACAATCGAGCAAAAACAGTGTCGTGAAGATGTTTCGATTGAGTGTTTAGCGAAGTTTCACAGCAACAAAGCAGAATTTTTGCATCGTTTCATAACCATGGATGAAACATGGGTCCATCACTTCACACCCGAGACAAAAAATGAAAACAATGGACTCAAAAGGGACAACCGGCTCCAAAGAAGGCGAAGACCGTTTCATCTGCAGGCAAGGTTATTTCGTCGGTTTTTTGGGATGCCCTTGGGATAATTTTCATTGACTATCTTGAAAAAGGTAAAACTATCAACGGCGATTATTATGCGAATTTATTGCAACGTTTGAGCGATGAAATCAAGCTAAAAAGGCCGCACTTGGTCAAGAAGAAAGTGTTGTTTCATCAAGACAATGCACCAGCTCACAAATCCGTTATTGCAATGGCCAAAATTAACGAATTAAAGTTTGAATTGCTACCTCATGCACCCTATTCACCAGATTCAGCCCCCTCGGATTATTTTCTGTTTCCAAACTTGAAAAAATGGCTCAGTGGTCAAAGATTTTCCAACGATGAAGAAGTGATGTCGGCAGTTAATGGCAGTTCTTACTATAAAAAGGGTATCGAACTTATTGAACATCGCTGGGAAAAGTGTATAGAGCTCAAAGGAGATTATGTTGAAAAATAAATGCATTTTTTTACAAAATTTTTGTGTGTTCTTCGTTGGGTCGGGTACTTCTGGATTCACCCTCGTATCTATAAACAGCATCTGGAGATCTGTGTCAGCCACTAGCTATGTTCGTTTTGGTTTTTCGATTGTATAAAAATTATATAAAAAGTTTCGTATACACACCTTATGTAAGCTTCCGAATGTAGTACCCTTTGCGGCCTAGGTGGTACCGATATAAACATGGGTTCGGCCGCGGCAGCAGCAGCCGCTGCGGCCGCAGCAGCCGCAGCTTTCTGTGCATTCGCCGTTAGTACCGCTCCAGCAGCTCCGCCCCCAGGCGTTGCACCTCCTCCGTTTACCATTCCACCTAGACACATAACGCAATGTGAAGAAAATGTGCATAGAATAATAGTACAGGCGAAATGGTGTACTATTGGAAATACGTTATTTCAAATTAGAATTAATTTCATTAGCAGACACATGCCTTATTTTCTGTCTTACTAAGGCGAATGTAGAAGGTGATATTTATTGACCGTGGAGCCAGAACGTTAGCGATTATGAATGTACAAGGTTATGTAGAAGTCCACTGACAATAACGGAATCATCAGTGAAAACTGAGTATAAACCACAGTAAATACTGATTGTGTGACATCCGCCTAAGTTTCGATGGAAAGATCTCGTAACATTTTCAAAACTGATATATAAAAGATAATTTATTTCTATACTATTATACTTTATTATTTTAGTATGTATTTCCAATGGCACACACATTTACTTTACCTATTAACACACACTTATATCTTTACGAATAAAAATGCACATTTAAGTACAAAGATCATGCAGCTGTATTCAAAAACCATTCTGCTGCTACAAAAGTTGTAATAGATTCCTTGCACTAGTGTAATGGAACTTCTAAACGAACAATATTTTTGTGTTTCTTAATCTGATGTCAACATTTAAGGGGGCTACTTTTGGGGTCCATTTTATATGAAACTATCTCCTAAATGTCTTAAATTTTGAGATACAGGATGGCAAAAATAAATCAAGAGTCCTTTCTTACTCCAGGAAAAGTACAATATATTCATTTATGAGCAATTCGATTTCTTGAATTTTTTTGCAGTACAGTATGCACAGTGTTAGTACTCCACAAAAGCCACAAGAAACCATCGATTCTCGTTACCCATTCCACAAATGTCAAAGAAACATATGAGGCAATGAAACAGCTACTTCAAATGATTAACTACAGTTCGTATATCTGGAACATATGCTGTAACTTGAAAGTTGTCGCTATTCTGACTGGTCTTCTTTGTGTATTTGGGATAGCAGAGCAGAGGAGACGAAAAACATTCCACTAATCGTGATTGGCCGAAGCGTGTGAAACATGTGGGAAAAGCAACGTTATCACGAAAGCACTTGTTGACAAAAATTTGTTTACTGACACAGAGTTTCAATAATGCTTGAACAATTCCGAAGCTTACGCTTCGGGAGCTTACCAAAAAGTAGTTCATGGATTGTTGGGAAACGACAGGAGCAAGAACGACTGTCAATTAAAACATACAATGATGAAAAAGTTTAATGCTATTGGTTAAAACTTATAAAAAATAACACTCAACTTTTTCTATGCTTCAGGTTCTCGCATGTCTTTGAAAATGCACCGACTTCACAGTCTTTTGGATTTTTTCCCTCCGAATTTGGATGCTGAAGGTGTTGAATAAGACGAGCCATTTCATCAAGAGATTTCTGCGATTGAAAAGCGTTATGAGGGCTTTTGGGATCAAGGCATGATGAGCGACTATTGCTGGATGCAACTTTGTGAAGATTCCACGCAACATAAGGGAACAATTTTGAGAGTGAAAGCGTATTTTAGACCCTAAATGTAACTGTGTCAAATACTGTAAAATCGCATGTGTTCACATCACGCGTCATAAGTTCGACATTTTTTGTCCGATTCTTGGGCTTATGGCTATATAGGTGACACAATTATCTTTATGCTTACATAATTTATCTTACTAAAAAACGTTTGCCCCGACAAAAAGTCAATAAATATCGATAATTTTCAAGAAACCTTCAAAAATGTTGTTCGGACAAATAAATGAGTCATTTTCGTTTTCAACGACCTAAAATTAGTCTAAAAAACACATTTTTGTTGAGGTACATTTTTCGTGTAAACTAGTGTAATGCACTAAAAAATATTGCCCGTCTAGAAGTGTCACAAGACTGTATCAAGTGCTGATCAGTAATGAAGGGGCACTTATACTATATCAGTCGGAACGTCACTAAGTTTCTGTACCAAACAATGTACTTTTTTACTATTGAACAGTGAGGTCTGGAGTTTACATGCTGCAGCAGGAGAGTGATATGCAAAAAACTGAAAGCAAATAGAAAAAATAAAGAATAAATAAATAAAAACTCACTGGGAATAGGGGTAGCAGTAGGAGTCGGACGACTAACCGGTTGTGGTTTACTGGAAGGCTTGAAGTTCCTACACAACACAACAAAACAACCAAATTCGTAAAATGCACAACGCTACTACAATCTACATTATCATTCCAGAAGAAAATAACATATGTATATGTATGTTGATGTATAAAATGCACTTTGCTTATATTATTTACATCTCGCAAAGGCACACTGTCACATAGAATTCTAATGTACAGTAATGGAAAAAAGTATATAGACAAATATGAATATTTACCTAAATACCTTTAGAAAACGAATTCATACTTCATTGCTCAATAAACAAATGCGTTATTAGTAGAAAAACGAATTTCCTTGTTTTTACATTATCTGCAATGAACACAATACAAGTCTGAATATAAGCACTTTTTTATGAGGGACAAAAATATGTAGACAAATTCTTTTCAACATAAGTTGAGTAGAGTTTCGTGTCAGAAGAGGATTGATTAGTTTGTGTTCATCAAGTATTGTGGAATAAGTTGAGTTTTAAAACCATGCCGCGTGGTCCAGAAATTTCTTTCGAAGTGAAAACTAAGATCATTGAGTTATACAACGATGGTCAACGTCAAGTCAACATTGCCAGAAATTTGGACAAATATAAACTAAAACGTATCTTGGAAGCCACTAAGAGAAGTGGTCGGCCTAGAAAACTAAATGCTAGATCAGTTAGATTAAAAAAAGTAATTTCGTCCAACGACCCAAGACAAATAAAAGCAGAAATCGAGACAAAAGGAATTGTCAGTGTCACTTTGCATACTGTCAAACATGGAGGCGGGTCTGTTACGGTTTGGGGTGCTTTTCGGGGCTTGGGATGGGACCTTTACATAGAATAGATGGCATTATGGATAAGTTTGTATACATAGACATACTAAAGCATGTCATGTTACCCTATATGCCCTTAAGATCAATCTTCCAGCAAGATAATGACCCGAAGCACACTTCAAATCTCGCAAAGAAATTCTTTCTGGATGAAAAAATACCAGTTCTCAAATGGCCTTCACAGTCTCCCGATATAAACCCCATTGAAAATCTATGGGAATATTTAGATAAGCAAATACGAGATAAAAATTATTCAAACAAGGATGAACTTTTTGCCGCTTTAGAGCAAAAGTGGAGACAGACTGAATGTTATATCAAGAAACTTCTACAATCTATGCCGAGACGATGCCAGGCGGTGATTGATAATAACGGTTATGCTACAAAATATTAACACAAACATGGTTGGTTTTCTATAATTCAATGAACTTTGCTTCTTTTTTATATAATTGTTTTGCTTTGTCTATATATTTTTGTCCTTCATAGTTCCAGTTTTTTTCAATTAATTTTTTATTGAAGGAAGTCTAATGAATTTATTTATCTTTAAGTGAGTATTATGCTATAACGAATTATGTATACAGGTTGGTGTATTAATAAAACAAGTTAAAAAAGAAATACAGCACAATATTAATTTGTCTATATACTTTTGTCCATTACTGTATCTAGCTCCTTAGCTGTGGCAGGTGACATTTTTCTTCGTGACATTATCGAATGTTTATAAAATGACTTTCAGGAAAGAGTGCCATTTTTAAAAGATATGAAAACTACTAATGAAAACTTTGTAACTTTAAGTAGTGACAACATTGCAAACGATAAACACATACTAATACACATGTTGAAATAGATAAAAGAAAATATGATGGCGTTGGTCAGCATCACAATACGCATTACTTCCTAGGTAGAACAATCGCAGGTAATGGCGCTTGATGGCAGGTACCAAACAAAAATGAATAACACCGAAAGATCAACATCAAGCTGTATCCATGCTGTACAACAAATTCAGACTAGGTGGAAGAAGCAAGCCTACAATTTGTTTGTCTCCAAAATATCAAGTCTGTAGTCAGGATGAAAGTACATAGCATTTTTTGACAGGTCTGTCATTCAATGCATATTTTTAGTGTTATTCATTGAGAGTGCGAGAGTTTGCAGATAAGTGCGATGTTAGACGATTTCAGGCCATGATACTTCTTGCATATTTTGCAAGCAGCGGCACAAGCTTAATGAAGGTAGATCCTTCCATTGGTATTATTATTATGTTGATATAACTTTGTCACTTTGGTAGGCATGGTAGTCAAATGAGTCAAAAGTCTGCAATGAAACTACGCAATTTTGGCGACAAACAATGCAATGTAAACATATGGGCTTGGCTCCTTCTAATCTATTCGAATTCGTTGATGCTGTAACTGTAACTAAGAAAGAGCTCCAAGAACTCGAGACAAACGCAAATCGAAATTGCGCATCAACAGAGAAAATACACAATGTAGGCACACTTCGCAAGGTGTATTAATTCAGTTTTCCATTCGCGCTATAATTTTTCCAAAAACTTGCCAGCTAGTGATGTTGCAATCAAAGAGTAGTTATAGCAATATGAGGCGAATAAATTAGAGAAAATGGCTGGTCAAACATACGCGTACATCTGTTATGGGCGTGTGATCCGAGTTTACCTCTTATTCACCTTCGATACGGAACATAACATAAAGGGTTGTCCAATAGGGACGCAGGAAAGTAAACGTCAATTTGACATAGACGCCAACTTTGTTTTCTGTCACCGACATGTCATTTTGTTAGTTGAATGCTTACCATTGATCGCTATGGAGTCGTATTCGATTGAAGACCGCATTAAAGTTATTCAAGAGCACTACAAAAATGGTGCAAAAATAAAAGACACGTTTCGCGCGCTTCGTGAACATTTCGGTCGCAACAACCACCCAAACGAAACAACCATCGGTCGTCTGGTGCGTAAATTCGAGGCAACAGGTTCTGTGGCAAATCTGCCAGGCTCTGGCCGGCCAAGGAGCGTTCGCACACCGGAAAATATTGCTGTTGTGAAGAAGAGTGTGAGAGACGATCCGAAACAATCAACAACGCGTCGATCCCAAGAATTGGGCATTTCGAGAACCAGTTTGCTCCGCATTCTCCACAAGGATTTGAATGTACACGCCTACAAGATCCAATTGACGCAAGAGCTGCATCGGGCCGACCATTTTTCGCGCCGAACGTTCTCAGATTGGCTCCTTGAACACCGCCAAATTGATGCCAATTTTTCATCAAAAATCATGTTCAGCGACGAAGCGCATTTCACTTTGAATGGGACAGTAAACAAGCAAAACTGCCGCATCTGAGCGAACGAAAATCCCCGTGAGTATCAAGAGCAGCCGATGCATCCTCAAAAAGTGACTGTGTGGTGTGCATTGTGGTCAAAAGGCATCATCGGACCTTACTTTTTCGAAAATGCGGCCGGGGACGCCGTTACCGTCAATTCTGAGCGATATCACGTGATGACAGAGGACTATTTTTTGCCGCAACTTGAAAGAATGAATATGGACGATATTTATTTCCAACAAGACGGTGCAACATGCCACACAACAAACGTCAATATCCATCGATTGCAGTCCTTCTTCGGTGATCGCGTGATTTCGCGCAGAGGAAATGTGACATGGCCACAAAGATCGTGCGATTTGACTCCCTTGGACTTCTTTTTATGGGGATATTTGAAAAGCAAAGTCTACGTCAACAAACCAGCCACCCTCCAAGAACTCAAAAACAACATCATTGCCGAGATAAATGCCATAGAATCGACCATGTTGCAAAATGTCATTGAAAATTTCGACCATCGCGTGGACGTCTGTAAATCCAGTCGTGGTGAACATTTGAGCGATATTATTTTTCATACATAAATTGTATAAATGAACCTTCAAAATAAAGTACCCAACTTGATTTGAATATCAATCTTTCTTGTTTTAATATGCGTTTACTTTCCTGCGTCCGTTTTGTACAACCCCATACAACTACAATTTCGATAGTATGTTAAATTTTTGAAGAAATGGATGAAAACAACGGTCCTCTTTTACACAATTTCTGTGTGTGTAAGAGAAAATAGTAGCAGTGTTAAGGATCGGCTTGTGCAGTATGTAATGTCCTTTAGTGAAGTTAAACTCCACAAGTGGTGTAGCTAAGACATTTCTTTCGTATGACATTGTGACGTAGTCGCCGAAAACCCTGTAAAGAACTAAGCGTGTCATACATAAATGTTTGGATACACTGCATGGTCAGTTCTTCATCTATGAGAGAACCAAGTGCGTTTCCGATCTGCTCTTCGTCATGCTGCTGAACTTTGCCTCAGTGATCGTTCGGTAAGGCGTATTTTGAATATGGAACTCCACTTTCACCACAACAAATTGGCCATTGTGCAACAGTTAGCCTGGAGATTACGCACGACGAGTGAACTTCGCACGCGAGATGGAAGCACTTATCGAGCAAAATGAGAACGTCATTTTGTTCATGAGCGATGAAGCTTTTCATCTTAATGGAATGGATAACCAGCAGAATTGCCGTTACTGGACTAATGAAAATCCGCGACAGTTGTATGAAAGACCCAAAAAAAAAAAAAAAAAAAAAAAAAAAAAAAAAAAAAAAAAAAAAAAAAAAAAAAAAAAACGGTTTGGTTCGCTGTATCACAAATTTGCATCATCGGCTCTTACTCCTTCTATGGGGACGCGTCAAGACTCGTGTATACGAGCACGCGCCCCGAATTCTGGACGAGTTCAAGGAGGCAATTCGCGTGGAAGTCGCCCAAGTTAAGAACGATCTTGGAGAGAGTCTACGCAAACTTTCAAGAACGCCTCCAACAATGCACCGTGATGTGATTTTTCACACTTAATTGTGACAAACGCTATTTCATTGTGAATCCGAATCCGTCAATAAATTTGTTTTTGAGTAAAAATTACCGATTTCGAGATTCATGCCGGACGCTGTATAACTACTCTTTGTCGATTTTTGCAAGTGAGAGTAACTTTTGCCACGATTACTGGTTGTGTCATTAGTCAAGGATATACGTACTATTCTAAACCACGTGATGGATTTTCTCTGTTGACACCACAACGCAATCTTAGCAAAAGAGATACGATGCAGCAAGCGCGATAGATGGCGTATTGCCGTACCGCTATGCGCGGCCGAGGCCAGCACCGTCCCGCGCGCGGCAACAGCTGCAGCGTGTACGATCGCCTCAGCGGCAGCTACTGCCGCCGACGGCGCCACCTTGTGAACTTGAAGCTGCAGCTGCGGTTGCTGCGTCTGTTGACCGGTCATAACGACTACGGATTTCGTGACGGCCGGCTGGAGAACGGGCATCACGCGGGAACTGCTTACGAACTTCCTATTTCGTTTATATTATAGTTTTATTATATATTCAAAATGTATCGACGTAAAGCGCTGTATAATATATTCATAGATATACGAGTAGAATAGACGCAAATTAAGTGATGCGACTGGCAACGTAGCGTTCATCTGGCAACACTGGAGGCGCCGGGGTTGGACCGGAGACACGGGAATATGTGATCCGCACATAAAAAAAAATATACTAAGTGACATATAAATCCGAACACCCAGTTTAAATGGTTTTATTTTAATAAAATTTTGTATAAGTACCTAATGAAGCATGATAAGTAAATGATAAAAATTTCAAAATGATTGCACTGCTTTAAAGCCCTTTGACCTTTAATAATGTGTGGATGCACCCTGATGTGCTACGCATTCTCCAACGCGCCTAGGCATGCTTCTGATCAGGTGGTCAATGTCCTCCTGTGGTATCTCATTCGAGGCAACCACCAACTCCTCTCGAAGTGCTTCTAGAGTCTGAGGAGGACGTTGCAAATTGAGCAATCTCCTACCCATCATATCCTACACGTGCTCAATTGGGGATAAGTCGGGAGATCTTGGTGGCCATGATAACAATGTGACATCATTATGTTGAAAGAAGTCTATTGTGACTCTTGCAACATGTGGTCGGGCATTATCTTGTTGGAAAGTTGGATCTGCCAGGGTGTCAAGATAGGGTAAAAGATGGGGTTCTAGAACTTCGTGGATATAACGCTGCGCGTTCTTGTTACCTCTGATGAAGATTAAAGGTGACCTGGAACCATAAGCTATAGCACCCCAAACAATAACTCCAACAGTGTGATGAACATGTCTTTCAACAAAAAACTGTGGATTCCTCCTTTCACCACGTCGCCTTCTAACCCTGGCACGACCATCGTGCATGCCAGACAAAATCGAGACTCGTCACTAAAGACAATACTGTTCCATTCCTGATCCCAGAGTGACCGTTGTCTGCACCACTCAAGGCGATTACGTCGGTGTTCTCGAGTTAAAGGGAGGACCCAGTGTGGCCGGTATGAAAACAAGCCAAAACTTCTCATTCGTCGGTAAACACTTCGCATGCCAATAGGTCTTCCGTGTTCCGCAAACCATTCATTTGCAATGGACCTGGTAGTGGAGAAACAGTCCCTTAAGGCCAATAATCTTAGGCGGCGATCTTCACGGTCTGTTGTTCTACGGCGGCGTCCAGTGCCCCTTGCTCTTTGCGTACGGCCTTCTCGAAGCCATGCCTGACAACATCTAACCACAGTGTCTACACTTCTTTGCATTCTAACTGCAATTGCCCGAAAAGAAAGTCCAGCTTCCCGAAGTCCCACTATACGGCCCCTATCAAACTCACTAAGTTGACGAAATCGTACAGGTCTCCGTACTCTAGGCATCGTAACCGATCGTAAAGGATGTCAAGAACCAAAATCCGCCAACGTTGATTTTTTACTGCGGCTGAAATATTCATTTTTAGAGCGTTAGTGAATTAAAAAAAGCAGTATAAAAACCGGAATGTCCAACTGATAAGGCTGAAAATTTTTTCACTTGTTATTTACAGTAAGATAAATACATTCACCAACTTTTATTAAAATAAAACCATTTAAACTGGGTGTTCGGATTTATATGTCACTTAGTATAATTAAAATAGGAAAAGTTTATAAAAACATTTTTGATCAAGGTTGATTTGACTATTTCAAAGTGTTGCAATATGACAACAAACGGACACAGGAGGCTGCATGTTGAGTTATGAGCATTAGTTTATAGTTAAAGAGAATAGTATTGAAGATACTGAGGAAATAGAAATTATTTTTAAATATTTGTAAGAAAAAGATATTCTAATATTACAATGGAAATGTAATGTTTTATATAAACTATACAAATAGAAATATAAACGAAAAATTTCATCGCTTAAAGATTAAGTTAGAAGCTTATTTTTGAATCTCATATTTCCTTAATTGGAGAAAATTCTCAATTTTATCATCAACAGTGATATATATACCTCTATATTCGGATTCAATCAACAAGTTTTTAATTAAAAATAAGGACATATAGATATCAAATTTTTAGGTCAAAACTGAATGCATTTTTTGAATGAAACTTGAATGTTTAGTGTCATTACCAATAATAATGTCAATTTTTTTCAAGTTTGAATGCTTCGTATCACACAGCAAAACCAATAAACGAGTTTTTGATCAGTAGAAACATTCCTGTGGCTCCTCAGCCTCCTTATTCGCCTGACATGAGTCCATGTGACTTTTTTCTCTTCCCGAATTTAAAAAATCACCTCACGGGAACTCATTTTGGGGCAGTCGAAAACATTCAAACGGATGTAACTGACTAGCTGAAGGCTATTCCAGTATCGGAGTTCCAACACTTCTAATGATTGGGAAAATTAGATTTGGATAAAAAAAAACAGTCTCATCACTTAATTTACAGACCTCGTATGTTCTATGGAACTGAACCTTATAGTATATTGCACATGCTTAATATCAACACTACTCACGAGCTTCTCTTATCAGGCGGCACCGACCTCCCATTCCCCTTATTGATATGCATATCCCTGATATGCCTGATCAACCTTGTCGCATTCGGGAACGGTTGCGGGTTCTTTCTGTTCCTCGCGCAGTTTCGCCAATGACAGTGAAATTCCAAACCGGGATTCTCCTGGAAGAACGCCGTCACGTGGCTAGGTTGATCCCTGTCTTTGATGCAGTGCTCGATCAGATCGATCGTGTCTTCGAACTGGTAGTCGCAGGTGTCCCACAGGCATTCGTATATCTGGAATCGAATAAATAACATTAATTCACCAGCCAGACCTCAATGTCTTACTCCGCCACCAAGTATTTTTTAAAACTCCAGCTACCACAAAGGCCTAAACACTCATGGGGTACCGCCACACGGACTCTAGCGAGGTAACACGTGTGCATGCAGCATGCACACATTCTGGCCCCGCCTACGACATCCGCGGGGTGGTACCTCCGCCTACGACAGTCAGAGACCGTCTACCACCTACGGACAATCACAACTTCCATAGCCAAGAGAAAAAATTATCTCGCAGAGCACGGCGTCCGATTAGGAGACGAAGCGTCTGCCACTACTGCCTAAAATATATATTATATTTGCAAATGAAAGTCGCGAGATTATATGATGATAATCTGGAGTCCTCAGCATAACACAAATGGCGCTCCAATAAGCGATACACATCGATTTACAGGGTGAGGTAAGAATGCGAGGTACTGTATATGGGAACCTATCCAACGTAGAGGCTTGCGGTAAAAAAAAAGTTCTTGCTAAAACGGTCGAGAGAAAAACCTGGAAAATATAAGTTTCTTAAATGGTTGCTAGGGGGCGTGACTGCAATCTTGAATCTAAAAAAGTGATATTTCTGCAAATTCCGCTATACTAACAAAAAATCTTCAAGTCGAGGGGAATATGAACTTTTTTGGTGTGAGAATTTTTGCTGTATCTCTAAAAATAAAGTGGTGGGGTATTCAGAGGTTTCCGTAAAAAAACCTGTATCTTCGAAACGGCTGAGCCGATTTTAACAAACTTGGGCTAATTGAAAGGAGCTATTCTTGGGCTACAAATGTTATAATATTTGAAGTATTGTTAGTTTCACATGTGGCCGCTAGATTTCTTTCTTCGACCTTTCGACAGAAATGGTTAATTTTCTCAAAAAAATTAAATGCACTGGTATGATTTATTCATGAAATAGTGGCTAAATGATCTTTAGACAAGCTCGCGAAAACCGCATCTCGATATGTTGTTCCTAACCTAAAATTTAGGCCAAAGAAAATTTTAGACGGAAATATCTTAAGTTTTTATTATGGACTAATTTTTGTGGAATCTCTTTTTATTATTAAGTTGTGGCCCTAACAAGGACCGATTTAAAAAAGAAAGTTTTTTAAAGCCCGCATAAATGCTCGAAATGCTGACCATCACGCTCTATGCATTCCTGAAGCCTGACATAGGTAGACAAAACTGCAGCTTCAATTTCGGCTCTCGGTATGTTACGTGATTCACGGTGTTCTTTAACCGTCCCCACAAATAAAAATCAACACAAGTCTGGTGATCGCGAAGGCTATGGAAACAGACTTCCTCTTCAGACGACGAATCCTTACTACTATTCTGGGATATACTACAGTGGACCTCCGGTAATCCGACAAACATTATGCACGGCAGTGTCGGACTATCGAATTTTTCGGATTATAGAGCACTGCCTAAGATATATTCCGGTATTTTTTACAAAAGAGTACTTTGTAATCCGACAAATTACATCTCCAATGGTAAGATTATATGTATATGTTATGTATAAGTATGTACTTTGAAGTACAAATCATACATAGTTTATGTATGTCGAATTTAGGAAATTAAATAACAATAGAGAGCTTACGTTTTATTATAAAATTAAGCATAAATGCACATACATATGTACCAAAATAATCAAGAATTATTAATCACAATCATTAATGAATTTATCAAATTATGAAGCTTGGAAATATTCATCAATTTTTTTGTTTTTGTTTAAGGTTGTTATAACGCGAGATCAGAGCTTTGTCCCTCAGTCTTCTCAAAAGTAAAAGTTCGTTGTAGGATGTACCATTCTCTTCAGCCCATTGTAAACCTAGCTCAAAGGCGTTAATTGCGTCTTGTGCTGTGGCTTGTGGAACAGTTGCAATCACGTCGTCGTTATTTTCCTGATTGTTTGTTGTATAATTAGAAACCTCTTTTATAATCTCTTCGTCAGACATTTCATGAAAAATATTTTCCTCTTTATCCATTTCACGGCACCAGATTTCCAAATCTTCCGGACTTATCTGTATTTCAGTAGCGACTTGTTCTATAACTTCCGAAGTAACATGATTTGTGGTACGTTGCTAGGAGTGGTGAGTATATCTGGCCATAACTTTTTCCAAGACGATTTAATAGTTAGTACCGTCAGGTAACGCATTCCACGACTAACAAAGCGCAAAAACCAAGTCTTTCATATTAAATTCTTTTAAAGTTTTTTCGATTGGTCTTTTGATACGGCTCTCAGAAGTAGGTTTTTCTTATAGTCTTGCTTGACAAACTGAATGATATTCTGGTCCATTGGTTGAATCAGTGCAGAGCAATTTGGCGGAAGAAACATCGCAGTGATGCATTTATCCTCAGTTGTTAGTTCTTCTTCAGACGGATGACCGGGAGCGTTATCAAGAAGCAACAACGCTTTTTGATGAAAATTATGATCTTTTAACCATTTTCTAACTTTAGGTACGAAGCATTCATCAAATCACTTTTTGAAAAGGTCTTTTGTCATTCATGCACTTTTTTGTCCGTAATTGTGTACAGGTAAATCAATGTTTTTGATTGCCCGTGGTTTATTAGATTTCCCAATGACCATCATCTTAAGCGCGTGTGTGCCCGCAGCGTTAGCACATGGTAGTATGGTTACACGCTCTTTACTTACTTTTCGTCCAGGTACGGATTTTTCATTACAAGAAACGAAAGTTTTGTTAGGCATCAAACGACAAAAAAGCCCTGATTCGACTACATTGTACACCTGTGACGGGTCAAGATTTAAATCGTTCACCGTTTGCAAAAATCTTAATGTAAAGGGCTCTATGCAGGTGGCATCGTTAGAAAGTTTCTCTCCTGTAATAGTCATTAAACTTATGCCATGCCGACTTTTAACACGTTCTAGCCATCCTTTGCTGGCCACAAAATCATCTGTTTTTGTTATTTCCTTATAAAAAAACTTAGCTTTCATGGCCAACATGGGTCCTGAAATTGGTGCATGCCTATTTCTTTCCTGAAGAAACCACATGTACAAAGCTTCTTCCACTTCTGGATGTTCAGCTTTCTTGAGTATTTGTCTCTTGCCTGGCGCGCAGTTAGTAGTTGACACGAACTTCTTGATCTTCTCGTGGTTTCTATTAATGTCATAAATTGTAGATCGGCGTACGCCGTATTCACTTGCTAAACTACTGAAAGTTTCATTTAAGCGGTCTAAAATATCACATTTTTCTTTAATTGTCAATGTTTTGTGATTTCGCTTTTGAGTTTGTGATGACATTACTAGGTATACTTTATCTGAAGTCACTTGAAACACTGTGAAATCCCGGATGCGTTTTATATATCTATATTTAACACGCTCTGTTGCTGCAAAAATCGCCAAATTTCGCAGCAGTTTCACCGGTCCACGTGGAGTAAAGCACGCCTATGCGTGGACATAGCCAATGAGAAAGCGTGTATTTCAGAGCTCCGAACAAGTGCAGGTGGCTACTGAAAATTGAAACAGTTTAGCCAGTGCCGTGTAGCGGTGAATAAACGTGTTTTCTTTAGTCTGTCCGTGTTTTTTCATAGATTTTATTAATTTGTGTGTTTTTGACTTTTGAATGCTCAGTTTACTTCTTGATTTAATTGTTGTGTTGATTGTTCTTGTGTGTCCTAAATATGGCTCTTTGGAGACCTTGGGAAAATGCTCCAAGCCACGAGGAGATGGTTGATGAACCTGTGCAGGCAGAATTCTTTCATAAAGATTTAGAGGAACAGACCCAAAGAGTAATCCTAAATATGTATGATTGTCTGAAAAACGAAAATCCAGATTCCTCGCAAAATCAAATTTTAAACAGAATTTGTATCCTGACAAAAATCAGTCGATCTACCATTTATCGGGTTATAAAAAGGGGAGATGTAGTCAACCATTCCTTCCACAGAAAGCGCATAGGGCAAAAATTAAAAAGAATAGAAGACGTGGGTTTTCAGGAAGATATTCGTCGTATAATATACGGATTTAATAAAGAAAATTTGGTGCCCACGTTGGAAATGATACGGGATAAATTAAAAGATTATCCTGAAGATTTTTATAATTACAAATGCTTAGACTCACTGCACTGTATTGCAAAACTGTGTGGTTTTCAATACAAAAAATTAGATAAAAGAATGGTGATTATGGAGTCGTCTCGAATCGTTCAATTTCGCCAAGAATTTTTGCACAAAGTTAAAATCTATAGAGAGCAGAAAAGAAATCTGATTTACCTGGATGAAACGTGGTATGATACCCATGATGTTGTGCAGTACGGCTGGGTTGACGACAGCAACAAGTGCATTTTAAATGCACCATGCAACCGTGGAAAACGAATCATTATTCTCCATGCTGGCAGTGAAAATGGATTTATACCTAATGCCTTGCTGTTATCTGCCAAAAATATCAAAGAATCATGTGCCGACTATCATGAGGACATGACCTCCGACTTATTTGAAAAGTGGATACAGCAGCAGTTAATACCAAACATTTCCCCAAATTCAGTGATTATTATGGACAATGCGCCATACCATTCCCGACAGAAAAACAAAATTCCGAATACAGGCACAAAAAAACAAGACATTATTGATTTTATGAAGGATAAGGGAATGGAAATACCACAAAAATCAACCAAAGCCATATTATTGGATCTTATTAAAAGACAAAAATTTGAAAAAGAGTATGTTGTTGACAATCTGCTTCAGCAAAATGGCCATGAAGTATTACGTCTACCTCCCTATTACTGCATTTTTAACCCGATTGAGTTGGTCTGGGCTGCTTTAAAAAAAAAGTAAGAAAACATAATCAGACCCCTCAATTAAGTGAATCGCTATTGGCCACAATAAGAGATGCAGTATCTCATATTGCTGCCACAGACCTATGGAAGCAGTGTTCTAGGCATATTATTATTGAAAAAGAAAATGAATATTGTGTTTTGCCTCCTGTAAATCCCGTTGTAATTCCTCTACAAGATGACTCTAGCGACAGCTCCGAAGGCGAGGATGATATATAAATACCTATAATGTAAGTCTTTATATACCTTTTTATATACCTACCTGCTATGTAAATATTTGCCTATGTCAAACGTTGGAATTCTGTAATTTTTCCATTTCTTAACTTTCAGTCAACATAAATTAAACTCCCAATATAAGTATTTTTTATCCCAAATCAAAAAATTAAGAAGATAGTAAAATCCATTTATTGTGATATAAAAACATTATTATTATCGTTCTAAATAAATGACCGCACGCCTATGATACGTCATGAAATTACAAAGGACGCGCCGACTAAAGGTTTTTATGCTATTTCAAGTGACTTCAGATAAAGTATACTATACTTAATACACAATGATTAAATAGTAAACAATGAACGCACGCTAGGCCGTACCGCTATCACCAGTAATCAAATTCAAACTAAGTAAAACAATGCTTACGCGTCGAGCACGATAGCGGTGGCGCGTTGTAACCTGTTCAAACCTGCGTGATCTACATTAGCGAAGATTGTCAAATACGTATGTATGTAATACATATTCAAAGATATGTCGGATTAGACAGGGGCCGGATTATCGGGGGTCCACTGTAGTTAAATTCAATGTTATGGCCGATACAAGTTCGATGTCAGTCATGCTTGCCACTTAGGTATACAGTGACGCACCCGCAAACCGCAGAGGTGCGGATGGCCATGTTTGCGTCAAAAAAAAAGGCCTAACGTTTGTACTGTTTGGAGTTTGCGGCGAGCGCCAAGCGTGCGGACGCGGCATATAAAACTTACTGACCTGATCTTGAGGCGGCATATTCGGCTGCGGGCTAGCGCACGTGCTGTCTTCCCCGGCGGCGGCCGCTGCCGCTGCGGCGACATTCATCATCGTCGCTTTCGTTTCCTCGTTCAACCTGCTCGCCCGTTCCTCCCACAGCTGTTTCTCGCTTTGCGGCAACGATTTCCATTCGCTGCCCACTATCCTGCTGATGTCGCCGAATGTCGACTCCGGGTTGTTTTGCACCACTTGTTTGCGCACCTCGCGCGAGTACAAGATGTAGCCGGTTACCACTTTGTTCTTGTTCGATTTCTAAAGGGGGAAATTAGTTGAAAAAAAAATCGATTATATGCTAGTATATTGTCACTAATCAACGTACTCTACAATATGCCCGACTAAATTAGAAGTGTTACACCCAGGAAAAATAATTTCCTCAACTTGTTTTTTTCGCAATGAGGTAGTCTTAGATCAAGAATGATCTATGAATCTATGAACTATCTCGCAAAATTTTATTCACAAATAATAAAAAAAAATTTGTGTGTTGGGCGACCCCGCAGCTGAATACACTCCTGTATACGTCTAGGCATCGACAAAATGAGATGATCGATTTCTGGTTGCGGCACCTCAGTCTGTGGCGGATAGTCTCCTCCCCATCATATCCCACATATGTTCGATATGATTTAAATCCATTGCAAAACATTAACGCCAGCTTCTTGAAGAAAGTCCGTCGTACGAGGAGCAATATGGCGACATATACTAAGTGACATATAAATCCGAACACCCAGTTTAAATGGTTTTATTTTAATAAAAGTTGGTGAATGTATTTATCTTACTGTAAATAACAAGTGAAAAAATTTTCAGCCTTATCAGTTGGACATTCCGGTTTTTATACTGCTTTTTTTTAATTCACTAACGCTGTAAAAATGAATATTTCAGCCGCAGTAAAGAATCAACGTTGGCGGATTTTGGTTCTTGACATCCTTTACGATCGGTTACGATGCCTAGAGTACGGAGACCTGTACGATTTCGTCAACTTAGTGAGTTTGATAGGGGAGGTATAGTGGGACTTCGGGAAGCTGGACTTTCTTTTCGGGCAATTGCAGTTAGAGTGCAAAGAAGTGTAGACACTGTGGTTAGGTGTTGTCAGGCATGGCTTCGAGAAGGCCGTACGCAAAGAGCAAGGGGCACTGGACGCCGCCGTAGAACAACAGACCGTGAAGAACGCCGCCTAAGATTATTGGCCTTAAGGGACCGTTTCTCCACTACCCGGTCCATTGCAAATGAATAGTTTGCAGAACACGGAAGACCTATTGGCATGCGAAGTGTTTACCGACGAATGATAAGTTTTGGCTTGTTTTCATACCGGCCACACTGGGTCCTCCCTTTAACTCGAGAACACCGACGTAATCGCCTTGAGTGGTGCAGACAACGGTCACTCTGGGAACAGGAATGGAACAGTATTGTCTTTAGTGACAAGTCTCGATTTTGTTTAGGCATGCACGATGGTCGTGCCAGGGTTAGAAGGCGACGTGGTGAAAGGAGGAATCCACAGTTTTTTGTTGAAAGACATGTTCATCACACTGTTGGACTCATGGTTTGGGGTGCTATAGGTTATGGTTCCAGGTCACCTTTAATCTTCATCAGAGGTAACATGAACGCGCAGCGTTATATCCACGAAGTTCTAGAACCCCACCTTTTACCCTATCTTGACACCCTTGCAGATCCATCTTTCCAACAAGATAATGCCCGACCACATGTTGCAAGAGTCACAATAGACTTCTTTCAACATAATGATGTCACATTGTTACCATGGCCACCAAGATCTCCCGACTTATCCCCAATTGAGCACGTGTGGGATATGATGGGTAGGAGATTGCTCAATTTGCAACGTCCTCCTCAGACTCTAGAAGCACTTCGAGAGGAGTTGGTGGTTGCCTGGAATGAGATACCACAGGAGGACATTGACCACCTGATCAGAAGCATGCCTAGGCGCGTTGGAGAATGCGTAGCACATCAGGGTGCATCCACACATTATTAAAGGTCAAAGGGCTTTAAAGCAGTGCAATCATTTTGAATTTTTTATCATTTACTTATTATGCTTCATTAAATACTTATTATTAAAATAAAACCATTTAAACTGGGTGTTCGGATTTATATGTCACTTAGTATACATTGTATCGCTGAAAAATGACTTGTGGACGACCCTTTAGATATGGCAGTAAAGTGGTTTATAGGATATCATCATCATAACGCGCAGCAGTCGTATTGCCTTGAACAAAGGCAAGCAGTGATCGGCTACTATAGGCAGTAGCCCCCTAAACCATTACTCCAACAGTCCTGTATACATGCCTCTCAACAGCAAATCCGATATCACGCCGTTCTCCCTACCCTTTTACGACCATCGTCCGCAGTCAGAGAAAGCATCAACCGTGGACGGTAGGAAAAGGTAAACAAAAACAAAGATAAAACGTTGACACAGCATGCTTTAAATATAGTCATTATGTTTCCAAAAAACAAGTTGAGGAAATTATTTTTTCTGGATGTCACACTTCTAATGTCGCTGAGTATATGTTACAAAATATAATGTCAATATTAAACTGCAAGTACTTTGTATTTGGTTGGTGCGTTTAGGAATCATGTCTCGCAATTTTTTTTTATACATCAGTAAATATTAGATGATCATGGCCATTAAAAATACTTGAAATGTTCTGAAAATCAAACCCAAAATAAAACTTTAATAATATATACACTCTTATTATGTTGTCAGTGATATTCTGGGTGTCGTTACACCAGTAGCTTACATTTACTTTTTCTAATGTCCCGTCAAGTACAGAACACCCTGTATATGGAAAGTCCTAAGCTTGACGTCAACCGGGATGGTAGAATCTAGAAAGTGAATGAGAGCTGCGCAAGTCTGTGAATTTAGCTCAGAAGCACCCTAAGCTTAAAAAAAAAATTGGAAACAAAAATTCTGGACCAAGTTCACGTAGCCCAGATTTTCCAAATATTTATATCAAACGACCATTACAGATGGTTTCTTCATCGGTTTACTTTTTTCTATCATACATTTTCGTTTTACGACGAAAAAATAACCAATGTCATGTGAAGCCGAAAATTAGTCAGATTTAAAAAAAAAAACGGGCCCACACGGACTTTACATCGTTTGACCCTACTTGTTTTCAATTTTCCGTATTGTCAGGTGGAAAGTTTTGTGGTGAAAAAGAGTAATAAGAAGTAAACGTGATTCCCGTCAGAAATTTCTAGGCTAACCTCAAATGACCCTGAAAAATCATTTCTCATTTTTTCTTTATTCAAAGGTGGAAATAAAATTTTGGCTGGGCAAACATGGTAAAACGATGAAAAATGCATGCGTGCTCATTTTTCTCTGACCAATTGTGGGTAACTTCACAAGAGCTTGTTTTTTCTCCTAACCTAAATGTGAAAAAACAAAAATCTTTGTTGGAAAAACGATGTAGCGGAAAAATGTGGTAAAACGATGGAAAATCGTATGACACATCGTTAACAACCCAAAATTTTTTGGGTCAAGTTCACACACCTAGATTGTTCTAGCATCACATGTGCAAAGGTTTGAAACCGACTGGGTATGCGCAGTGGAGAAAAAATGTCCATGCATGGATTAAACCTAGTTCAGCAAACCAACTTTTAGTTTGAAAACTGGTTTCGGTAGGGTCAAAACAGTACACAGGATTTTGCCCGGACTCTTGAGTTTATAAGATGCGCAGAAGAGGTTATGGGTGCCTTATGATTTGGGGTTATTGTTTTTGTATTGTGTTGGGGAGTTTCTGTCTTTCTTAGTTTCGTTGCAACTTTGAATAGTTGAATAGTATCAATTGAAGAGATTGAAGCCAAAACCGTTTTTATTAAATATGGTGTGAAGTTTTCTATTGTGTATACCTGTTTGTACGAGGGATGTCTAATAAGTTTTGCATATAGAAACATAGTAGGCCGCGCGGATCGAACGTCAGTACTGAATCTTAACCTCAATCTTTAGTAAACTTAAATTCAAAGTTTCATAACAATACGTGCAGTATTCTCACTACAGTGGATTTTTAAGTGTCACCAAGTCATTAGAAAAATGGAACTCAACCGAGAACATTTTCGCGCCATAAATTATTACAACTTTCAGAGACAATTATCGCCTTGCTGAGTTACTGTCTCTTTTCGTCAACGAAGCGCCACATCAGTCGACAATTTCCCGTTGGTATGGAGAAAATTCAAACGTGTACGGGTGAGTTTTAGCGACGATCCCAGGGTGGGTGCACCAAAAGTGGCAGTCACCCAGGAAAACGTCGATGCTGTGCGCAAACTCATCACTGAAGATAAGACATGTGACACATCGCGAGATTGAGACGTCCTTGAAGATCTCAAAGTCCTCAATTCAAAAAATTTTACATGAAGAATTAGGAGTAAGAAAATTAGTTTCTCGTTGGATACCCCACCTGTTGACTGAAGAGCAGAAAGCAGCCAGGGTTAATTGGTGTCAAAAAACGCTTGACCGTTTCAATTTCGCAAACTCAAAAAATGTGTACAGCATTGTTAGTGGTGATGAATCGTGGATTTACTGTTATGAACAAGAAAATAAACGATAGTCTGCTGTTTGGGTGTTCCAAGGTGAAGAAAAGCCAACAAAACTCATCCGTTTTCGAAGTGTTTCGAAAAAGATGGTCGCGACATTTGTGTCAAAAGCAGGTCATATTGCAACAATTCCTCTGCGGATTGATATACCACCATTTCTTTGCCAAAAGTCATCACCGAGCTTCGAAAAATCAGCCCCGAAAGAAGAATCATCCTCCACCAAGACAATGCAAGCTCGTACACAGCCCAAAAAACAAGGCAGTATTTAACGGAAGAAAACGTGGAATTATTGGACCATCCTCCATATAGTCCCGATCCAAGTCCTAACGATTTCTTTACTTTCCCGAAAATTAAAAACAGACTGCGTGGTCAAAGGTTCCAGTCACCAGAAGAAGCAGTTGACGAATTCAAAATGCCGTTTTGGATCTGCCAGCAAACGAGTGGGATAACTGCTTCGAAAATTGGTTCGAGCGCATGCAGATATGTATTAATCTTCGTGGAGAATACTTCCAAAAACAATAAAGTCATTTAAAACTATCCACCGTGTTGTTTTATTTCCACATGCAAAACTTAAAAGACACCCCCGTATTGCTCACAGAAATATCAGATTCATATAGGTCACGTTCAGAATCTGATTGGATCCGAGGTATCGAATCTAGTTATGATGAAAACATTCTACACATACTGTTCATAAGCGAAAAAAAAAGTATTACATA